ATATATAAATATATATATAAATTGTCCACTCACCTTTGACCCTGCAGGAATAATCAGGTGGCCAAAGGAAGAGATTCAGACCACGGATGTTAAAACTCGAAAGCTCCTTACCATGCATGGCGGGTTCCATCCCAAATCCAGCACCCTGAGACTGTACGTAAGCCGTAAAGAAGGAGGCCGAGGACTAGTGAGTGTGAGAGCCACTGTCCAGGACCAAACATCCAAACTCCATAACTACATCATGGAGAAGGCCAAAACGGATGACGTACTCAGTGAATGTCTCAGTCAGTGGCGAGATGAGGAGGTGCTGGAGGAGAGCCCATCATGGAAGAACAATCCCCTACACGGCATGTACCACCGGAGCATAACAGAAGTGGCTGATCTCAAGAAGTCTTACCAATGGCTAGAAAGGGCTGGCCTACAGGACAGCACAGAGGCACTCATCATGGCTGCACAGGAACAGGCCCTGAGCACCAGAGCGATAGAGGCCCAGATATACCACACCAGACAAGACCCAAGGTGTCGGTTGTGCAAAGAGGCACCTGAGACGATCCAACACATAACTGCAGGGTGCAAGATGCTGCAGGGAAGGCCTACATGGAACGCCATAACCAAGTGGCTGGCATAGTGTACAGAAACATCTGTGCAGAGTATGGGCTGGAAACCCCAAGGTCTAAGTGGGAAACTCCTCCAAAGGTGGTGGAGAATGAGCGTGCGAAGATCCTGTGCGACTTCCAGATACAGACCGACCGAATGGTAATGGCAAACCAACCTGACATCGTGGTGGTGGACAAAGGGCAGAGGACAGCCGTGGTGGTGGACAAAGGGCAGAGGACAGCCGTGGTGGTGGACAAAGGGCAGAGGACAGCCGTGGTGGTAGACAAAGGGCAGAGGACAGCCGTGGTGGTGGACAAAGGGCAGAGGACAGCCGTGGGGGTGGACAAAGGGCAGAGGACAGCCGTGGTGGTGGACAAAGGGCAGAGGACAGCCGTGGTGGTAGACAAAGGGCAGAGGACAGCCGTGGTGGTGGACAAAGGGCAGAGGACAGCCGTGGGGGTGGACAAAGGGCAGAGGACAGCCGTGGTGGTGGACAAAGGGCAGAGGACAGCCGTGGTGGTGGACAAAGGGCAGAGGACAGCCGTGGTGGTGGACAAAGGGCAGAGGACAGCCGTGGTGGTGGACAAAGGGCAGAGGACAGCCGTGGTGGTGGACGTGGCAATTCCAAGCGATGGTAACATCCGGAAAAAAGAACATGAAAAGCTTGAGAAATACCAAGGTCTCAGAGAGGAGCTGGAGAGGGCCTGGAGGGTAAAGGTCACAGTAGTGCCCGTGGTGATCGGTGCACTCGGGGCAGTGACCCCGAAGCTAGAAGAGGTTACAGTGGATCCCTGGAACAACCTCGGACATCTCGGTCCAGAAATGTGCAGTGCTAGGAACAGCAAAGATACTGCACAGAACCCTCAAGCTCCCAGGCCTCTGGGAGAGGACCCAAGCTTAGAGAGGGATAACCGCACACGGGGGGGCCAAAGGTGAGTGGACAATTTTATTTTTATATTTTTATATATAGATATATATATATATGTATATCATTATTGTTTTTTTGTTTTTTTTCTCTTCTTTCATCTCTGAAGCTCGAGCTCATTTCTTGCTATATCTTGGGAAGGAAGCTCCGCTGTGATTGGTCCGTGTGTGTGTGTATTGGAAGGAAGCATGAAGCGGCTGCAGCAGGAGCATGGACAAGGCACTATGGAGCAGAGAACTTTTTGCTTCGAAGGAAAAGCAGTTTGGGCTCAGAGCCTGATATACAGGAGACTGTGGACTATCTAACATATATATAACTTATATCTAACATATATATAACTTATATCTAACATATATATAACTTATATATAACATATATATAACTTATATCTAACATATATATAACTTATATCTAACATATATATAACTTATATCTAACATATATATAACTTATAAACTGTTCCTGTCTTGTATGAATCGTAGCTGCATTTGTTGCTTTCCTCCTGCACTCGTAAATCGTTCATGTTTGTCTCAGATATTTACCACTATTATTGTTTTGCTGTTTGTGCTGAAAACTATTTAATAATAACTATGTTTCCAACAAGAACTGTGTCTTTATTCACAGCGTCACAGTTGAAATTACTTGTAAAATAATGAATCCATAAAACTATCACATAAACCTACAGTAGAAACACGTGTAATGAGCTCAAACAGCTTTGTTTGTTATTGTTGTTCTGAAGAGGACAAAGTAGCAGCGTAAATGGGACCGCTCCTGTGTGATCGCCCTCATGTGGTTTGTTGTGGGATTACAACATTCTCCTCAAAACTCCGTAATGGTGCTTTCAGACCGTATCATGCTGCGTCGGGTTTCAATGCAAAGTCTACGGTGGCGTGCGTTCGACTGTCACAACGCACGGACCTCTCGGCACGAACGGACTGTTCAATAATGACGCACGGACTTGGCGGGAAAGTGAAAAGGGAGGAGCAGGAGCGAAACATCAACGCCCACAGGAGATGGATTCTGCTATATAACAATTGTAAACCGCGTTGAGACTCCGATGTGCAGTGAAAAGGCGGTATATAAATAAATAAAGATTACTTACTTGCTCATCCTTTCCTTGCGACGTTCGTGCGACAACCAATCAGAGAGCAGCAAAGTGGTCACGGGGACATTAGCGGACTGAGCGAGCAGACTGAAAATACTCGTAAACAGCCAAAACAGGACCCACACCAGACTTCACCAGAACTCAAACCAGCGCTGACAATGGAGGACTCTGTGCTTGTGAAAATATGTGTTGCCATGCTCCCGTGACCTTATGCAACTGCTTCGAGTGTGTTCACCGATGCGGAAATTCCGTTTAATAATATGAAAAAACTTATGGCGCACCTCCGTGAACACATACTGCTGTTATATAAAGTCACCTCCGTGAACACATACTGCTGTTATATAAAGTCACCGTGAACACATACTGCTGTTATATAAAGTCACCGTGAACACATACTGCTGTTATATAAAGTCACCGTGAACACATACTGCTGTTATATAAAGTCACCTCCGTGAACACATACTGCTGTTATATAAAGTCACCTGTGAACACATACTGCTGTTATATAAAGTCACCTCTGTGAACACATACTGCTGTTATATAAAGTCACCGTGAACACATACTGCTGTTATATAAAGTCACCGTGAACACATACTGCTGTTATATAAAGTCACCGTGAACACATACTGCTGTTATATAAAGTCACCTCCGTGAACACATACTGCTGTTATATAAAGTCACCTCCGTGAACACATACTGCTGTTATATAAAGTCACCTCCGTGAACACATACTGCTGTTATATAAAGTCACCGTGAACACATACTGCTGTTATATAAAGTCACTGTGAACACATACTGCTGTTATATAAAGTCACCTCCGTGAACACATATTACTGTTGTATAAAGCCCGTGGAATGTCTGTGAGCAAAGACACGCTGCAAAGCTGCATATTGGAGAAGATCTGTGCACAAGAAGCCGCTAGCATAGCTCTGTTAGCATCAGAGCCGGCTACTTCCGGTACTTCCGGCTCGCGTCAGGACGTTCTGGTGTGAAGTCCTCTGCGTCTGAAAACTAGAGCGTCTGGTGAGCGGGGCTTCAGCGTTCAGCGTTGGCCGTCTGAAAGCCCCTTAAGGGGAACGCGCCAGTAAAACATCAATTGTGCTTACGTAGGTCCACCGAAACCGCTAACGTAAGCCACGCCGCGCAAGTATACACTATGCTTAAAGAGAGAGGTCAAAAAACTGTGTGGCTCCACAAAGTATATATTAAATCAAAATGAATCAATGATTACTTTTAGCACACATTGTTATTTAACTTACACAACTTTAATGAAGAAGGTTCCAACGTACGGTTTTAAAAGATGACAGATTAGGGCCCTTTAATGACGACAGATTAGGGCCCTTTAATGACGACAGATTAGGGCCCTTTAATGACGACAGATTAGGGCCCTTTAATGACGACAGATTAGGGCCCTTTAATGATGACAGATTAGGGCCCTTTAATGACGACAGATTAGGGCCCTTTAATGACGACAGATTAGGGCCCTTTAATGACGACAGATTAGGGCCCTTTAATGACGACAGATTAGGGCCCTTTAATGACGACAGATTAGGGCCCTTTAATGACGACAGATTAGGGCCCTTTAATGACGACAGATTAGGGCCCTTTAATGACGACAGATTAGGGCCCTTTAATGACGACAGATTAGGGCCCTTTAATGATGACAGATTAGGGCCCTTTAATGACGACAGATTAGGGCCCTTTAATGACGACAGATTAGGGCCCTTTAATGATGACAGATTAGGGCCCTTTAATGAGGACATTAAAATCTTACATATTACTACTTTAATGTAATCATATTTTAGGACTCTGAAGAAGAGCGAGGGTCCACAGACGTCCCCAAACTCATTTCTGAAGAAGATGTGGATTTCTTGCCGTACATGAGATGGGAGGAGGAGGAAAAAGTGAGTACATTGATATAATAATTGATAAAAACCATTTTCCTGTTTTTTTCACTTGTATCACTGGCCTAAAAAAACCCAACTCTGTGTTATTTAATTTTCCAAAATAAACTGTTAAATTGTCCACTGCCCTTTGCAGATTTGTGGTAATTCACTCATTATGGAGAAGGGTGTTAAATGTAAAGAAACTGATATCTGGGTTTTCTGTATTATTTTCTCCCAAATACATTTCATTTGTTCAAACTATCATTATTTTGGTTAAATAATGTTGCCTACGAATAGTACGTTCATTCATACAATAATTGATCAAAAAAAAAGAAACATGATTACACTTTTTGCACTTTTTAACTTGTATGTAAGGCGACCTTGAGTGTCAAGAAAAATGTATTATTATTTCACTTGTGTTCCGTATTGTTTTACCTATAATAACTCAATTCTTTATTTTCAGGAACTAACTGTTGGAGCAAATGAAATGTCCTCTGTCAGTTCTGCAGCGGACTTTGAGGAAGACTTTGAGGAAGACTTTGAGGAAGACTGTGAGGAAGACTTTGAGGAAGACTGTGAGGAAGACTTTGAGGAAGACTGTGAGGAAGACTTTGAGGAAGACTGTGAGGAAGACTTTGAGGAAGACTGTGAGGAAGACTTTGAGGAAGACTGTGAGGAAGACTTTGAGGAAGACTGTGAGGAAGACTTTGAGGAAGACTTTGAGGAAGACTGTGAGGAAGACTGTGAGGAAGACTTTGAGGAAGACTTTGAGGAAGACTTTGAGGAAGACTTTGAGGAAGACTTTGAGGAAGACTGTGAGGAAGACTGTGAGGAAGAAGTAGTTCAGAGATATTAGAATTTCTAAATTACTTTTCCAGCCTCTAAATCTTGTTATTGTTTTCATTTCGATGTCCCGCCCTCCACCGTTTCACCAATCAGAAAGTCTGTGATCCGGGCGCCAGAACTCACCGCGTGGAGCTAATCTCACTGGTAAAGTACCATGTGGAGCTAATCTCACTGGTAAAGTACCATGTGGAGCTAATCTCACTGGTAAAGTACCATGTGGCACAGAACTAAAAAAGGTCTCGTTATGATTCTCAAATCATTAACGACAAAACAAGGAATAAAAGCAGGATTTCTATCTTTGTGAAAAAGGTGTTGGTTATAGATTTGTTGTTGACAAAACTCTTGTCTATTCAGCTGTTATGGTCCCAGCTGGATTCGTCTGCATATCTGGCAACCTGAGTCAGGGACAGTGGGAGAGGCTGCAGTACCACTTTTGGCCACACCTTTACACACTGCTCCTTTAAGTCTAATGATTATTTGTATTGTTATTATTATGAATGAAAACTTGTATTGGTTTGAACAAATTACACCCCATCAAAAGTTTAATTCCTGGTTGTGCTATTGCAAACATTGCAACCTGCCCATTCGTAGTTTGGTGAAGACTGTGATAGTAAAGTATTCTGTTCTGGTTCTATCAAGAAACTGAAGCCGGAGCAAGAAGAATGTTTAGCAAATGTAATCGCTGCAAAGATTGTGGCGCTACTCCCCATGGGCTCCGTTAGCGGCAAAGGAGATGGCTATAGCTAGGCTACATGCTAAAGCTAGGCTAAATCTAAACTCAGATCCAATGTTTCAATCTGCAAAAGAAGTTAACCCCTCCCACCTGTTCACGGAGTCACTGGAGACAATCCAGGCCTTAGTACCAACTGTAATTTGTACTATGGTGTGGTAAGACCAGGCTAATAAAATCTGAATTGAAAAACTTCAAACTTGCTTAAATTAGGTTTCTTTAAATTCTGCAGGACCACAGTGTGTTTAAAACTGGGACTAGGCTTTCATCCAGGGACTGATTGAAGATGGATCCAACCACATTAAAACATGTTTGAGAAATGTGGTGTGATTGACATTGAGGCGGCACCTGGGTTCCTTCATGTGGAGAAAATATCTGATAAAGAAGAAACTGATAAAGGTGTAAAAATATAAAAACAATATTTACATACACAGCTTGGCTTGGAGCAAACGTCTTGATGAAAGGATTTAAATTGTGTTCAGTGGATGTGTCGTTAAAAACACAGGGACTGGGATTTGTAAATGTTTTATTAAAATCATACTTTTTATTTAGTATTCATGTTAAATACTTAAGAGTTTAAGAGCATTACAAACTAAAACATGAGAGAACAGAGATAAAAACAAGTTTATCTGATACATGTAGATTAAGTATATTATTATTATTTAATATTTACATATTAATGTGCTGCAGTATTTATGTCGCTTAAAGGTATGTTTTCTTTACTGAACTGAGCACTTGAAAACTTCAAAAACCTTCCTGATAACTCTGGTCTCTCTTCTGGTCTCTCTTCTGGTCTCTCCTCTGGCCTCTCCTCTGGTCTCTCCTCTGGTCTCTCCTCTGGTCTCTCCTCTGGTCTCTCCTCTGGTCTCTCCACTGGTCTCTCCACTGGTCTCTCCTCTGGTCTCTCCTCTGGTCTCTCCTCTGGTCTCTCCTCTGGTCTCTCCTCTGGCCTCTCCTCTGGTCTCTCCACTGGTCTCTCCTCTGGCCTCTCCTCTGGTCTCTCCACTGGTCTCTCCTCTGGTCTCTCCTCTGGCCTCTCCTCTGGTCTCTCCACTGGTCTCTCCTCTGGCCTCTCCTCTGGTCTCTCCTCTGGTCTCTCCTCTGGTCTCTCCTCTGGTCTCTCCTCTGGTCTCTCCTCTGGTCTCTCCTCTGGCCTCTCCTCTGGTCTCTCCTCTGGCCTCTCCTCTGGTCTCTCCACTGGTCTCTCCTCTGGTCTCTCCTCTGGCCTCTCCTCTGGTCTCTCCACTGGTCTCTCCTCTGGTCTCTCCTCTGGCCTCTCCTCTGGTCTCTCCTCTGGCCTCTCCTCTGGTCTCTCCTCTGGTCTCTCCTCTGGTCTCTCCTCTGGCCTCTCCTCTGGTCTCTCCTCTGGTCTCTCCTCTGGTCTCTCCTCTGGTCTCTCCTCTGGTCTCTCCTCTGGTCTCTCCTCTGGTCTCTCCACTGGTCTCTCCTCTGGTCTCTCCTCTGGCCTCTCCTCTGGTCTCTCCTCTGGTCTCTCCTCTGGTCTCTCCTCTGTGTAGTAAAAATCTAACTCCGATATGGTCTGCCACGAATCATCAACTTTGAGCGGGTCGTCAAATGTTTTCTCGTAATCTCGAATTATTTGTAAGTGTTTTTGACCGATGATCTTTGCTCTTTCAGTTGCGATTTCCTTGAGTTCGTTTTTCAGGTAAACATCGACTTGTTCTTCCAGAAGATTCTCATAAACAACTTTATAGTACGGAGGACAGCAGAGGTGTTTTTCCTTCTTCTGACGTGTTTTCCGGATCCAGCGACCTTTCACCACCACAGCCACAGTCCACAGCAACAGCAGGACGCTGATGATTATAAGCCCAATGTCCTACATAATTATTGAACATAATTATCTCCTGCACAGACAATAAGTTTAGCCTTTAACATGTTTCACTTGTCTTTGCACAAAGTGATTCTGTCTGTGCTAAATGTTTAATGTGACGCGAACATTTCTCCATCAGAGATCAATAAACTATCTTATCTTAAATTCTAACTATAAAATAAAATAAAATACAATCTCTAACATAATAATAATAATAATAGTATAAAGTTATATAAATATCAAATGCGTGTTACTTACCAGAGAATGGATTTTAATGCCATTTATAGTTTCTTTTTCCTTTTCTGAGAGCAGCTTGGTGTCTTTGCAGGGCAGGTCGACGAGGTTCGAATCCAAATGTGTCGTGTAACAAAAAAACCAGTCTCCGTCAAAAAAAACCGCTGTGAGCCAAATACCTCCATTAAAAACAAGTTTCAGCAGAAATGTGAAAATGAAACTAAGACAGTTTTGATAGTTTGAGCAGCGTTTGATCTGGAAAAGAAAACAGCGAGAGAGACTCCTCTGACTGAAAGACTCGAAGAAGAACAAAACCCAGGTCAGAATAAGAGGAGGCAAACCTAAGTAAAGTCCGTCGTAAAGGCGAAAAACATGTTTACAGGAGCATTTAAAGTCTAGGTCCAAAACATACTGCAGGATGAAGAAGAGCACGACCAGCATCAACGTGCTCACTGCTTTGGTCAACACTGTCATGAGCTGTTCTACAAAAACATGGCCAAATTGAGTCATTTTCTCAATTAAATCTAGATTAATAATAATAATAATAAAGTGCTGGTTGGGTTTTGTGAGTGGAAATGAAATGGTTCAAGCTTTGTCCCAGTTTTTATAGTTTAGATTTGCCACAAACCTCAGACTCTCGGTGCAGACACGTGACCACAGAGAGATGCTTCTGTGGTTGGAAGCATCAAAAAGTGCACCTACAGCATAAACTAGATTTAACCTTTTAAGGATCACCCTCCCTGTACAGGGAGGATTCAGATATTTTTCATTTAACAGCATCAGTATTAGAATTAACTTGTGTCAATATAGTCAAGCTATATCTCTTTTGAAAGCTTATTCCCACCTCTAAACGCGTATTATGTCAAAATAAATATTAAATATAACCAAAAGTATGAAAAAGGAGTCAAACTGTATATATATATATAAAATATACATCGTCCTTTCTTACCTTTTCATGCTAATATTCTGGGGCAAATCACGTCTAATCCACACATGTGTGCATTCGTTTTGTTCGTGAGGGTTCAAAGAATAATTATATTCAGTTGTTTTTTCTACAAAGTCATCCTTATAGTAGATATCCAGTTATATCCAGTAACTACACATTTGAGTATTGAAAGTTGCACAAACGAAAACAAAACCTGTTCTTTGCGCACTGTATGAAGTAGGCATGTTACTATTTACCTAGCGTCACTGGGTATGTTCGTCTTCCTCTAAAGCCTAGCGTACATCGACAGAGAAACTGGGGACAACTAGTTGCAAGGCGGCTTTTGGCAACTGAGAGGAGATGGTGGGAGATGATCAGTTGCCGAAATCGGTCGATGTGCGCGCTCTTACAACTGGAGATGAACAGTCGGTCTCCAGTTCCAGTCAGTTGCCCGTGTTCTACTTTTCGGCAACTAGTTGTCCTCAGTTGCCCCGATGTGCGCGCTCCATGCGCCGCTCCAACAACGTGTGTGTATTGCGTGTATTGCGAGCCCGCAACAGTTTGTTGTCAGAAAACACACTGTAGTTGAGGCCAGTTGCTGTCGATGTACGCGCTGTTATTCAAGAGACTGGCCTGCGACTCAGAGTTGCCCGTTTTCGCCAGATTGTCGATGTGTGCGGGGCAGCAACTCAGAGGCGACGGATATAATCAGTTGCCAGTCCGATGTACGCTAAGCTTAAGGCCTGTTTCACACCGCACACGAATTCGTGAACGAATTCGTCTTCGAAACCCGTTCGCGTGCATTCGCAAGCTGCGCTTCAAGTCGCGTCCTGTTGTGCAAATGAGAAAGCTCTTCTGTGTACAGACCGGCGCTGAGGCGGCGCGCAGGGAATCGGCGCGCGCCGCTGCGGCCTCCGCTCCTGAAACCAAAAATGGAACTCGAGCGCATTTTTTCCGCGTGTAGGCTGCGCAGCGAAGCGGTTTTCAGCACGAAAACATTCAAAAAATAACTTTTATAAAGCAATTTCACGTTTATCTAATCTCATTATTGTAATGCATAAGTACATATAGGTTTATTCTTTTAATTACACAATTTTTCATGTTTTTTTATGCATAAAATATAATTGTAACATTAATTGTAACTACTATATATATATATATATATATATATATATATATATATATATATATTATAATTATAATTATAACCTAACCTTAACCCCCATGGAGATCCAGGCCTTCCCCACACCTTATAATTAACTATGATAATGACACGACAATCAAAATAGGCTATAAGATACATTATAAGGAAATGTTAGCAATTTATTTAAGGTCTACATGTGCTATTTTGATTTCTGACCTGTTATTTCAGACAACATATGTAAATATACAAAATTTTTATTAGTTTGGAGTACAATACTACTCCTTTTGTGCGTGCTACTCGTCTAGGCGCTTCGCCCACGCTCGGCGTCAGTCTGAATACATGCGCTCGCCGCGAGGTAGTTCGGCTGGAAAGGGCGCTCTGCTCTGCGCTCGGCGTGCGGTGTGAAACAGGCCTAAGCCTCCCCTTCAAAACAAGCCCATTCCCGGACTTTTCAGTGCTATGGTTTGGAAGGTAGAGTATGTTGAGTAAAACAAGCGCACCTAGCTTTGCCGCTCCAGTCATATAGATATCTGTGCGTCACGACAGCATTGTCTTGACTACCATTGGCCGATTTGGATGTCAATCAAAGCATCTTGTAGCCAATAATCTCAGGTTTCAGGCGATGTGTCGGACTTCAAGGTTCCTCCCACTGTTCGAGTCTTATTTGAATGCGTAAGAGAAGAAGGCGGAGCATTTTCACGGAGAACACGCGCTATATCTATATAAATAATAGCTTTTCTGCAAACATTTCAATATCTGGAAAAAAATCCTATTTATAGCAGGAGTAATAGCCAAAAAGTGATATAATTTGATTTTTGGTGTAATAACGTTGATAATTTGCATGTAAAACACTTTGGCACAATTGGCACAAAAATGGACCACTTGTGCCGAATGTGCCCATTAGATACAAAAAAGCCCCCAGCATCAAAATAGTTTCACCTAAAGGTCTAAAATTTCATACAGGTGTTGCCAACACCACAGACATCTGCTCTGGTGAGTTTGAACAACATACCATAAAGTATGTTTTCAGGAGATTATTTTGAAATTTGACTCATGTTTGAGAAGCTGTAGTGCAGACTGTGTCCTTCCTAACAAACTGTAACATACATTTCCAGAAACTAGAAGGTGTTACCTTTCAAATGAGGCATCATAACACAACATCAGACACAAGATGTCCACACAATAAGCCTTTCCATTTGAGTATCATAATTCAAGAAGGAGCAGGCGAAATTAGGTGATCCTTAAAGGGTTAAAAGTGCTGCTCAATCCCTCAGTAATATAAAAACATTATATTTTGCTGCATTTCACCAAAGTAGATTCTACATCTTTGAGTATTTTCCCTGTTTGTGCAGAACATTGGGCGACTAAGAGACTGAAGCCTTCTTTAGTTTATCAAGGACAGAAAGGCCACACAATCACACATTGCCACCAACAACCCATGTCCAGGTACCTTCTAGACCAGACATGTCCAAACTCGGGCCCGGGGGCCAATTGCGGCCTTCAGTTTTTTGTGAGATGGTAAACAAGAGTCATTCAGCCAACTCCAGCTCCGTTATAGCTAATTTTAAAGCTCAGAACAGCCCAATACCAGTCAAGTCAGTTTTTCAGTCCGTGACATCGACCCCTGGACTAGTATGGTGAACTAATGTGGCCCTCTTACTAAAATGTTTGGACGCCCCTGCTCTAGACACAGCAGAATTTCAGCCTCTGTCATGGTTGGGCTTTTAACCCTTGTATTATGTTGAAAAAAAATGACATTGATTATGTTGCGGGTCATTTTGACCCATACTGTGTAAATGCACTCAAAACAGTCAAGAAAACAGGTTAAACCAATAACAACTTTATTTTAGGTTATATAAATATTTAGAAAAGTGACATTCCAACATTCCAAAAGTTTTTAATTCCAACACTATATTTAAGAAATATTTAGTCTAATCTTCTTGTCCTCCTCTCGGGTCAAAATGACAATTTTTCCCTCCTTTCCTCCTGCCATGCTTTCTCCTTCCTTTTTCTCATCCTGTTTTCCTTCTCTCTGTTCATCCTCTATTCCCTTCTTTCCTCCTTCCTTGACCAAAGATTCGTCCTCTGAATCCTCCTTATCGTAGGAAAATTGACAATCTGGATCAGCAACAACATTGTCCTCTGTCTCTGAAAAATCCTTTGTTTCTGAAATATCTTCCTCTACATCATTATCCCAGTTAAAAATCTGTGATAAAGCCTCCTCAGATGTCATCCTTCTGGAGCTCATTTTTGGTGAGTTTGTCTAAAGCCTAGCGTACATGGACAGAGTAACTGGAGACAACAGTTTCAAGGCGGCTTTTGGCAACTGAGAGTAGATGATGGAGATGATCAGTTGCCGAAATCGGTCGATGTGAGCGCTCTTACAACTGGAGATAAACAGTCGGTCTCCGGATTCAGTCAGTTGCCCGTGTTCTACTTTTCGGCAACTAGTCGTCCTCAGATCCGGAGATATCACCGATGTGCTCCAACAACATGTGTGTATTGTGTGTATTGCGCGCTCTACAGTTTATGTAAAAAAAACACACTTTAGTAGACGGCCAGTTGCTGTCGATGTACGCGCTACTAGGAGTTGCCCGTTTTTGCCACATTGTCGATGTGTGCGGGGCAGCAACTCAAAGGCGACGGATATAATCAGTTGCCAGTCCGATGTACGCTAAGCAAAAGAGATGACATGAGAACAGTGACAAGGACAAGTGTGAGAAAGTTCCCTCTCTTCACACAAATGGCTCTGGCTCTCAGAGGCAATCAAAATACAATGCCAAAGAGACATGTTTTTTTGGATCTGAACAACTATTTACCCACATTAAAGCGTCTGGGTCAAAATGACCCGCAACATCATGCATAGACATTCTACTACACATCAAAGTGTCCAGATTTTACACACCAGTTCATGACCCTAGATGAGGAAAAGTCACCAAATTTCAGAAAAATAAAGGATAACCAGTACTTTGATCAACACAAAAACTGAAATGGGTCAAATTGACCCTTAACATAATACAAGGGTTAAAGAAATTAGTTAAAAACAGATTTAAAAAGTAATTACATTTTTTTTCACACTTCCTTCTGTTCACATTTTCCTTGACGGTGATTTTATGCAAACATGTGTGTACAATATTTCAGGATGTGTGTACGGACAAATGGAAGTTAGTCCAAGTCTGCAACTGAGGTTCATTAACACAAAAGACGTTGTGTGTTGGTCTGTGAAATGCGCTACATAAATAAACATTACTGACTTTTTGAAAACAGTAGTTTCTTGGATGTAACAATGAAATAAGGAAAAAGGAAAAACATTACTCTCAACCAACTGTCACATCCATCCATCTTCTTCCCCTTAATCCATGTCTGGGTCGGGGGTGGCAGTCAGAGCACCAGCCCCTCACTGATCCTCCTGCAGGAACTGAGTCCACAGGAGCTGAGATCTTTCAGCGGGGACTTCAGGCAAAGTGGGGTTAAGTGTCTTGCCCAAGGACACAAATGTTACACGTTTGGTAAATGCAGTGATACTTCATTGGTTTTTCTTCTGGTGTTTGGAAATAAAAAGACACATTTGTGCAGCATCAGTTTAGTCTTTTGTATGGTCATCTTATATTCATTCAAATCTTTTCAGGTTCTTTGTCTTTCTACTTCTAAATATTTACTTATTTACAAATGTGAAATAATCTGAATTACCCGTTTCCATGAGGTTTCCTTTTGATTGAATCATACACAACATTCTGTACAACTTTAATGAAGAAGGTTCCAACGTAAGGTTTTAAAAGTGAAACTGAAAAGATTCTGAACAGTCTGAGCTCAAAGTGATTCATTTCCTTTTTTCTAGTCATTTGGGAAGAAGTTGCTTTTTCTTTGTGGTTTTGTCTCGCCAGGAAAATATTGTCAGCAACAAAATAACTGTTGTTTCAATGTCAACTAAAATAATATAAAACGGATTGTGCGTCCGAAGCTCAACCCTGCGCCGACATGAGTTTAGCTCAAAGAAATTACAGCAGAAGAGAAAGTCATGAAGGACCAATCATGTGTAACTTTTTTAATAAACTAAAACATTTTCAAGTAACAAAAATAAAGTAAAAATCTGATTATTAACATGTTTAAGTCTAGAATGTATTTATATTGAAGTAAACGGCAGCACAATGATCACGGTTGTTAAAGGAATAGTTCACCGTTTTTACATACTGACATATGTTCTTACCTTACCTTAGACTAGTTAATATGTACCTGTCTGGTCTTAGTCCGTGCGCTCTGTCATGCAAACGGAGCAAAAACGGGAGCACAACCGCAGCCTCCTCTGTATACTGTATAGTACCCAAAAGGTAGCTCCCGCTAGAAGCTACCAAACTCTTCCAAGTGTTCCCTATTAAATGTATATAGTTACGTGACGTGTTACACTGCAAAGTATAGTAACACAGAAATGTAACTGTCAATTTTCTCAGCGGATAAAACGGGTACTATATTGTGAGGCGTAGTAATCTGAGGTGCGCTACGTCCGCGCACTAACTTCTCTCCGGAGACTTCTCTCTCGCTCACTTCCGTCAATAGAAGCAGCGTGACTTGTAGTACACACAGTAGCAGCGAGAGAGAAGTCTCCGGAGAGAAGTTAGTGCGCAGAGAAGTTAGGAGCGCTACGTCCGCGGACGTAGCGCTCCTCAGATTACTACGCCTCACAATATAGTACCCGTTTTATCCGCTGAGAAAATCGACTGTTACATTTCTGTGTTACTATACTTTGCAGTGTAACACGTCACGTAACTATATACATTTAATAGGGAACACTTGGAAGAGTTTGGTAGCTTCTAGCGGGAGCTACCTTTTGGTCCTACACAGTATACAGAGGAGGCTGCGGTTGTGCTCCCGTTTTTGCTCCGTTTGCATGACAGAGCGCACGGACTAAGACCAGACAGGTACATATTAACTAGTCTAAGGTAAGGTAAGAACATATGTCAGTATGTAAAAACGGTGAACTATTCCTTTAAAGCAGAATGTGTGTCCTTTCGATGTGAGCGCCACCTTCAGGCCACAGCCGGGAGGAAGCACTGCAGTGAGCGCCACCTTCAGGCCACAGCCGGGATGAAGCACTGCAGTGAGCGCCACCTTCAGGCCACAGCCGGGAGGAAGCACTGCAGTGAGCGCCACCTTCAGGCCACAGCCGGGATGAAGCACTGCAGTGAGCGCCACCTTCAGGCCACAGCCGGGAGGAAGCACTGCAGTGAGCGCCACCTTCAGGCCACAGCCGGGATGAAGCACTGCAGTGAGCGCCACCTTCAGGCCACAGCCGGGAGGAAGCACTGCAGTGAGCGCCACCTTCAGGCCACAGCCGGGAGGAAGCACTGCAGTGAGCGCCACCTTCAGGCCACAGCCGGGAGGAAGCACTGCAGTGAGCGCCACCTTCAGGCCACAGCCGGGAGGAAGCACTGCAGTGAGCGCCACCTTCAGGCCACAGCCGGGAGGAAGCACTGCAGTGAGCGCCACCTTCAGGCCACAGCCGGGAGGAAGCACTGCAGTGAGCGCCACCTTCAGGCCACAGCCGGGATGAAGCACTGCAGTGAGCGCCACCTTCAGGCCACAGCCGGGAGGAAGCACTGCAGTGAGCGCCACCTTCAGGCCACAGCCGGGAGGAAGCACTGCAGTGAGCGCCACCTTCAGGCCACAGCCGGGATGAAGTACTGCAGTGAGCGCCACCTTCAGGCCACAGCCGGGATGAAGCACTGCAGTGAGCGCCACCTTCAGGCCACAGCCGGGATGAAGTACTGCAGTGAGACGTCTTCATGCAGGAGGATGAGGTGGACCAGGCTGTGGTGGACCAGGTCTGGGCACAACATGGAGGAAAGAGAACATGATCTTCAGCGACAACCTCTGACTCCTCATTCGTCTCGTTTGTGTAAGTTGGAGGAAATTAAGTTGTAAATGATTTTTAAATACATATTTTCCTTTAATACTATTTAAATGAGTTAAGATTTGTTTTTAACGCCAGGAAGAACTTTGATGCAGCAACACTACGGCTTTGGAGCCTTAAATGCACTCTCTGATTAAACACTATGCTCAGTTTTTATATAAAGATTTGAATTTGATTTTATTTTACTGAAGGTTCACACAAAGCTAACAGACAACTGTGAAGTGACTGTAAATAATACATGATTCTGTGATCAGCAAGTAGGGTGTGCGCACGTATTCATGCAGCTACGTTAAAACAAGGGCTGTCAAAATGATTGCGTTAACTCACGTTAATTAAATTTGTCATTAACCGTGTTAAAATAAAATAACGCATTTAACGCATGTCAGGATTTGAAATAGAATGTTAAAAATGTGATTAATTGTGAGTTAACTCATTACTATGCGATTAATCCACTAAAACATGTGATGGTTTGACGGCCCTAACAAAGCCGTACTCACTGCAGAGGGCTTTGGTGGGGTTGACCTGTTGTCCCGTCAGAAACTGCTGAAGCTTCCGGATGTCCAGCCGAGCCTGAGCCATGGCCTCGCAGTCCCTCTGAGAGCCCTCATCTCCTGAGACAAAGGACAGCTTCATATGGTTTGTTAAAAGTCACAGATGGTGCACACTGGGGGAGTCTTGCACAGTTTTTCCAATGTGGTTTTACTGCAAATGCCAAAAAAGTTCTTGTATCTTGTATAAAAGCTACGGTATGTCACTTCCAAACCCAAACAAACGGGAATATGTCATAAAATCCATCTTTTACGCAGTTATTGATGATGGTAAAGAATGAATAAATATAAATAAATATTACCCAGCTCTTGATCAGTTTTTACATTTGTTTACTGTATATTTTTAGCCAATCAGCTCAAAGTACAGGAAAAAGAGACTCACACGCCTCTTTCTGACAAGGACTCATGTTGTGATCTGACTTGTTAAGATAAGATAGACTTTATCAACAATATTTTACTTTCCCATGGCAATATAATTGTATTCAAACATAATCACTTTTTTGGGGCTGGAGGAAGGTCTCAGAATGATATGTTTTTTTAATGTATTTTACAAATCACTTAAAATAACACCAACAAAACTTATAGTCTGTGTTTTTGCTTCACGTTTTACAGTGAACTTGGCGTTGGGTATTCCACCATAACAAGTTGTAGTGTATCAGTATTTTCTAGAACGAGTGAAAGAATGTTGAGAGAGATCCAGTTCTGGACCAGGACTCACCCCAGGGCGGGTTCCCCAGGTCTTTGAAGTGCGTTGTGACTGAGACCAGGTCTGTTTCTATTTTCAGGTTCATCTGTCCGCTCATGTTGGCCTCCAGCACCTCAAAAACACAAGGACAGAAGATACCTCCATAAATCAGTTACATTAGTTTTACACTACCCTGGTCTTATCCATCCGTACTCTCAGGTCCATCATCATGTCCTGCAGGTAACGTCTGGGTCTGGTCCCTGTGTTTGTGATTACAATCGGTTGAATTCCATCCGACCAATCAGAGAGCGCGGGAGGCGGGTGTTGTAGTTAGATGTGGGTGATGTCAAGAGTTTGTGTTGAACGGGCAGGTTGTAGTTTGGTGAAGAATGTGATAGTAAAGTATTCTGGTCTGGTTCATTCAAGAAACTGAAGCCGGAGCAAGAGGAATGTTTAGCAAATGTAATCTCTGCAAAGATTGTGGCGCTACTCCCCACGGGCTCTGTTAGCGGCAAAGGAGATGGCTAAAGCTAGGCTAAATGCTAACGGCTCATTACATACGTCACAGTAAACTCTGATCCAGTGGTTTCAATCTGCAAAAGGAGTTAGCCCCTCCCACCTGTTAACGGAGTCAATGGAGACAATCCAGACCTTAGTACAACATGTAATTTGTACTATGGTGTGCTAAGACCATGTTTACACCAATATAAAACTTTTTCTTTATTATGGGGAAAAGATGGCATCTCTGTCTGAAGAAGCTGACCTAAAGATGTGCCAGAAGCCAAAAAATACAACGATGTAAAAACTAGTTCTAGATTCAAAATGTTTTGAGAGCGAGGAACTAGTACAGACTGTATTATTGCTCAACTTCTAAAGGCTTCGTACCAGGAAGTTGGAGAGGTTCTTCATGCGGTCCACTACGTTCTTGATGGTTTTGAGCGGCGGGAGGTAGATACTGACCTGTCACAGAGATGGAGTTAAGATGAAAGAAAATGAAACGTGACCCGTGTCTTGCTCACATCAAAGTCGGGCATGTGCGGCTCTTTGAACTCGTGCCACAGCTTTCGGGGGATGATGTCGACCGGAACATCGTGGGTGACGACTCGGCTCACGGAGGAAAGGGTCGGCTACAGGAGGAGGAGCAGAGAAGATCCAGGACTGAGACTGGGCAGGATTATCTCAGCAAAGTGCTTACTAACACATGTACAACAGCTTGCAAAAGTGTTCATACCCAAAAGTGTTCAAAGGAGCTCAGGGGGACTGAATACTTCTGCAAGCCTGGATTTTCAACACTGCAAAAATTAAAGGAGCTATACCCAATTTATTTTTTAATGAGTTAATAAAAATGCTTATTACTACATACAAGTTGTATTATAATCCGTAATTTAATTGAAAGCTCATTGATTCAGCTGTGTATGAATTCAGGCCGTAAAAAGTGCTGAGTAGAAATTTTGCATGGCCTGTCTCCTCTCGGCCACGCCTTTTAAGCCACACCTCCTCTAGGCCACACCTCCTCTAGCATCTATAGCACAGGTAAACAAGAGCAGCATGTTAGCATAAGTGGCTATAGCAAAGGACGGTTTCTCACCCATCATCCGTACTTCTTAGCAGGTTTTCCCAAGAAGACGTACACAAACATAAGTGGCTATACTTCCTCTGGCTGTAACTGCAGACACAGCAAAACAGCCCAAACCACACAACAGTGAGGAAGAGAAAAGAAGAAGAAGGTCCTTTATTCGTCCCACAATAGGAAAATTTCAGTTTTGATGACACAACAACAGCATCAGTGGGAGTCGGTGGAGGGCTTGAACCCACAACCTTTGGGCCCGAAGGCCAATGCTCTACCAACTGAGCTACTGTCGCCCTAGGGGAACTAAAACCAAAAAAGAAATCAAGCTCGAGTGAACATAGCGTTAGCTTACATCGTATGCTCTTGTAGGGCTGGGCGATATATACGGTATAAGCGGTATGCGATATAAATTTGGCCCACGGTAGAGATTTTTGTTATACCGGCATATTGCGATAGGTCATTATGTCATCAAATTGCGCAGGCTCTGACGCCAACAGAGAGCATCAAAACAAACCGGCATTCAGCAGCATTAGCCTAGCGCATGAGCCTAGCAGCATTAGCCTAGCACATTAGCCTTGGACATTAGCCTAGCACATTAGCCTTGGACATTAGCCTAGCAGCATTAGCCTAGCAGACACCACTGGAAACAGCAAACAACAGCACGGAATTCACACCGTGTTTCTGTCTATGTGTTGTTGTCACAGCGGCCCCAGCAGAGGTAAATACACACACAGTAATCACAGTTTAAGAGTCTACCTTTAGGCCAATCGTGTAGGCTCGAAGCGCCAGTGTGAGCCAAAATAGATCCATGCGTGTGCCGTGTCCGCAGCATCATCGCATCAGAAGTTTGGGAAAGGTAGCGTCAGATTCGGACCTCCGCGGTCAATAGCTCACGAAAGCTACTTTGTTAAACAAAATTAATTGTGCCAAAATGACCATTTACATCAATTGTTCAAATCCAATGCGCTGTTTTAATGAACATAAATCCATTGACTCATCCAGTTCACTGCAAGTGCAGAGAAAAACGCTCAGGAAGCGTCAACAAATGTCAAGACCAGCTTTGGTCTTGCATTTGTCTCACAACTACAGTGCCTTGCGAAAGTATTCGGCCCCCTTGAACCTTTCAACATTTCGCCATATTTCAGGCTTCAAACATAAAGATATAAAAATTTAATTTTTTGTCATGAATCAACAAGTGGGACACAATCGTGAAGTGGAATGAAATTTATTGGATAATTTAAACTTTTTTAACAAATAAAAAACTGAAAAGTGGGGCGTGCAATATTATTCGGCCCCTTTACTTTCAGTGCAGCAAACTCAGTCCAGAAGTTCAGTGAGGATCTTTGAATGATCCAATGTTGTCCTAAATGACTGATGATGATAAATAGAATGCACCTGTGTGTAATCAAGTCTCCGTATAAATGCACCTGCTCTTTGATAGTCTCAGGGTTCTGTTTAAAGCACAGAGAGAACCATGAAGACAAAGGAACACACCAGGCAGGTCCGAGATACTGTTGTGGAGAAGTTTAAAGCCGGATTTGGATACAAAAAGATTTCCCAAGCTTTAAACATCTCAAGGAGCACTGTGCAAGCTATTATATTGAAATGGAAGGAGGATCAGACCACTGCAAATCTACCAAGACCCGGCCGTCCCTCCAAACTTTCATCTCAAACAAGGAGAAGACTGATCAGAGATGCAGCCAAGAGGCCCATGATCACTCTGGATGAACTGCAGATAACTACAGCTGAGGTGGGGATGGTGTGTTCAGGGTGATGAGCTGTGTTGCTTTTAGGCCAAACATATCGTTTTGCATTGTGGCCAAAAAGTTTGATTTTGGTTTCATCTGACCAGAGCACCTTCTTCCACATGTTTGGTGTGTCTCCCAGGTGGCTTGTGGCAAACTTTAAGAGACTTTAATTGGATATCTTTGAGAAATGGCCACTCTTCCATAAAGGCCAGATTTGTGCAGTGCACGACTGATTGTTGTCCTATGGACAGACTCTCCCACCTCAGCTGTAGTTGTCTGCAGTTCATCCAAGTGTCCCACTTGTTGTTGATTCATGACAAAACATTTAAATTTTATATCTTTATGTTTGAAGACTGAAATGTGGCAAAATGTTGAAAGGTTCAAGGGGGCCGAATACTTTCGCAAGGCACTGTATACTACAAATATATATACTAGATTATAATATATAAATGAGTAACAATCTTGACTATTTTATGCAATAACCTGCTATACCTAAATTGAAATTCACAAAATTATACAGCAATATATACCGTCTACCGCCTCTGTCCCAAATTATACCGCAATATGAATTTTAGGCCATATCGCCCACCCCCTATGCTCTTAGATAGTCTATGGGACTATCTACGCCCGGACTATCTATGCTAGGACTATCTATGCTAGGACCATCTACGTTCTACGCACAGACTATATAGGCCCGGACTATCTACACTCGGACTAGGGGCGGCACGGCGGCTGAGTGGATAGTACTCTCGCCTCTCAGCAAGAATGTCCTGGGTTTGGACCAGGGCCTTTCTGAGTGGAGTTTGCATGTTCTCCCCGTGTCTGCGTAGGTTTCCTCCGGGTACTCCGGTTTCCCCTACCACTAAAAATATGTAAAATAGTTCTGGCATGCACCTCCTGTACTGGCCCCGCTCCCATCTCTGTGTGGAGTGAGAGACAAGTGCCCAAAAAAAAAAACAAACAAAAACTTGTGACTGGTCTGTGAAAGGCGGTATATAACAAAATTACGGACCATCTACGCTCGGACCATCTATGCTCGGACTATCTGCGCTCGGACTATTTACGCTCGGACTATCAACGCTCAGACCATCTATGCTCGGACTATCTACGCTCGGACCATCTATGCTCGGACTATCTGCGCTCGGACTATCTACGCTCGGACCATCTATGCTCGGACTATCTGCGCTCGGACTATCTACGCTCGGACCATCTATGCTCGGACTATCTGCGCTCGGACTATCTGCGCTCGGACTATTTACGCTCGGACTATCAACGCTCAGACCATCTATGCTCGGACTATCTACGCTCGGACCATCTATGCTCGGACTATCTGCGCTCGGACTATCTACGCTCGGACCATCTATGCTCGGACTATCTGCGCTCGGACTATCTACGCTCGGACCATCTATGCTCGGACTATCTGCGCTCGGACTATCTGCGCTCGGACTATTTACGCTCGGACTATCAACGCTCAGACCATCTATGCTCGGACTATCTACGCTCGGACCATCTATGCTCGGACTATCTGCGCTCGGACTATCTACGCTCGGACCATCTATGCTCGGACTATCTGCGCTCGGACTATCTGCGCTCGGACTATCTACGCTCGGACCATCTATGCTCGGACTATCTACGCTCGGACTATCTACGCTCGGACTATCTACGCTCGGACTATCTACGCTCGGACTATCTACGCTCGGACTATCTACGCTCGGACTATCTACGCTCGGACTATCTACGCTCGGACTATCTGCGCTCGGACTATCTACGCTCGGACTATCTACGCTCGGACTATCTGCGCTCGGACTATCTGCGCTCGGACTATCTACGCTCGGACTATCTACGCTCGGACTATCTACGCTCGGACTATCTACGCTCGGACTATCTACGCTCGGACTATCTGCGCTCGGACTATCTGCGCTCGGACTATCTACGCTCGGACTATCTGCGCTCGGACTATCTGCGCTCGGACTATCTACGCTCGGACTATCTGCGCTCGGACTATCTACGCTCGGACTATCTACGCTCGGACTACATTCTGACATGAAACTAGCGGTAATCTTTCAGTTATATATTTTGTTAGCAGTGCGTTGTTTTTGTACCATTTCATCAAGTTGCGCTAATGCTAATGTTTTCATGCGTATCAGATCGCAAATTAAACTAGGATGAGAGCGTAGGGAAATGAGAAGCCTGTGAGCAAGTTGGGGGCGGGGCTAAACATTCAAACTGAACATAACCTGCAGAAACGGGTATAGCTCCTTTAAGTCATGTCTCATTCTACGGTCTGTGACTGTTCTGGTCGTTCACGCACCAGGTCTGCGGAGATGGTGAGGCAGGGGCAGTGCTTCTTGGTCAGTTTGATTTTCAGAGCTTTGGCGTTCTGCAGCGTCTTCAGGGCACGTGACAGACTCTCCGGCGCCACCTCCAGGCAGATCTCATTATCGTCCGCAGTCACACCCTCCATCTGGAACTCGTCAAAGAAGTTCCCCTGCCATGGACAAGCCCAGGACACAATGTCAGCATTTTGTCTCTAAACAGGATATTGACAAAATCTTTGAGTATATTTAAGAATGAGATTTAAAGTCTCTGACCTGCGCCAGCTCACACCACATGCTGACTCCTCCATTGGCCACTTTCTCAGACAGAATGAAGAACAAGTTATCTGGGGTCAGACGCAGCACACTCACTTTGGTCAGCTTCGAGATGGTGGTGATTACTCCTAAGAAAAAAACAAAACTAATGAATAGAAATCAAGGTCTTTAGAGCACAAAAAACAGTTCAGAAATACAACTCAAGCATTTGTCTCTCACTGTGAGAGACTAATGCCCACAATTGTAAACCCCTTTGTGACTCTGGTCTGTGAAAGACGCTATATAAATAAATATTTCTTACTCTCAAACTAAATCAAATACTTTCTTATTCAAGCTCCTATTATTACACTTTTGACAAACGCAGTGATTGTTGTATTTCCAAACACTGAGATGTGAGGTTTGTGAAGGAAATAATGTCAGCCGAATGATTTGCAGTGTTTGTGATTTGAATTGCAGACATTCGTTATTTTTATTCGATTGTGATGCATGCGGACCATGCAGACCGGTACTGCAGGGTACGTACAATCTGTGACGTAAACATGTTGCGCAACTCAAGGCAAAATGCCGCAAATAAACTATCGTATACGCCGCATCGATGCAGCTTAAATTTCTCGACTATTTTGAATAATCGAATTACTCAAGGTTACACTTAGATTAGTGTGTTAGAACACAATTAGATTAATCGTTTCAGCTCTAATTGTGATTAACCTTTTTTTAACCATTTGACCAGACTCAGCAAAGTCTGTCTGCAAATGTTTAAAACTCTAAAAATAACAGTTGTTCTCTATCTTATTATCTAGCTAATACTCTAAGGTGGAGGTCCACAGTTAAATGTATGCAGGAGATTTGGGAATCTGGAAACATCTAGTGAAGTGCACACAGTATTTAATGCCACAACCTCTCAAATTGAATGCAAAATGTAACATATAGTGCCTTTTCAATTATTTAGATTTAATACGCTATGGATAGCTTGTTTTTTTTTTTACAAATATTTTCCCATATAACTTGAATGTTCTACGTAAAGTATTTTTCTGTTGTGACCGTGAAACTAAAGTTCTTACGGGTGAAGTGGTTGAGACAGGCCACGTCGATAATCTTTCCTCTAAACTTCATCTTCACATTTCCTCAGAATCCCGTCTGCTTAAGATCAGTACGTTTGTTTTTGTTCTGTTTTTTACTTGAAAACGTCCAAAAGATTTCTGTGCGCGGTACGAGCCATGGCGCGGTATGATTGTTTTGGTCCAGCTGAAGTGAGGAGCCGACCCGAAACAAGCGAGGAAGAGAATAGTTCCGCTTCGTAAAACTGCAGTGGTCGTTAGTGACCAGCAGAGAGCATACCAGCAGAGAGCATACCAGCAGAGAGAATACCAGCAGAGAGAATACCAGCAGAGAGCATACCAGCAGAGAGCATACCAGCAGAGAGCATACCAGCAGAGAGAATACCAGCAGAGAGAATACCAGCAGAGAGCATACCAGCAGAGAGCATACCAGCAGAGAGCATACCAGCAGAGAGAATACCACAAGACCAGATCTATATACTATATCTTTATCTGATGTAAAATGACAGGAGTTCATTTATAAACTTCTTGTTCCTAAAGACATAATCCTTTACAACAATCTTTGATCTATATCACTAAATAGATACATTCTAAAGACAATTATTGTAAATTATTTATCAATAGTTATGCCCTGGATTTTTTTATAGTGCTTTTTAAGACGTTTACACACTTCACATTATTCATTCACTCCATACACGGTGGTGACGAACCACTGCTGTAGCCACAGCTGCCCTGGGGCACACTGTGTCCCGCAGCTCTCCCATCGCAGTACTAACCAGGCCCTGCCCTATACAGCTTCAGAGGTCTAACAGGATCTGGCTTTTACATGCAAGTTTGGCCACGTTAGTCTGTTTCATGTGGATAAACAAAACTTTTTAACTTTTTGCATTAGAATGAGTACATTTATTGATAATAGAACCGAATCTTTAAAGCTCTATTCAAAACTGAGTTCATTGCTGTGGTTCAGATCTTTGTCCGATAAATGTTGCCCTCTCCTGCGTTCAGTATTTACCTCTTTATTTTTTGATAGCCCAGAGAGACGTAGCATTTTATGTAAATGTATTTTCATTGCACATTTCATGTTATAAAATGCTACTCAATGTGCTAAGCATAAAACAGCCCATACATCAATTTTCTTCCCCTTAATCCATTTCTGCGTCTGGGGACGACTACAGATAACACACAAAAGCATATAACTGATCCAATCAAAATAGTAAGATAAAGGTAGATAAGAATTCCTTTATTCGTCCCACGGTGGGGAAATGTCGATGTTGCATCGCACATATAGGACAGTAGTAAGAGCACACAGGGATCACACACAATATATACACTATATACAAAATAAGTAGTTGCTATGTTTCTTAACTAACATAACTAGCTGTAGATGCTGAAAAAGCTTCAATACCAGTCAAAAAATATATATGTAGTAGTGCAGTTATATACTGTACAGTTAAATAGTGCAGGATAAAAAGTATATAAGTAAAGTGACATGAGGTAAAGTGACATTGTTCTGTGACATCCTGAAGTTGCAGTATTGCACATTGCACATGATTTAAGAATTTACTTAATTACAGATGAATGAAATTTACAGGCTCAGCAGTTCTTATTGTACAGTCTGACAGCAGCAGAAAGGAAAGGTGTTCTATTTACAAGGAGCATAGCGATAGAGGAGTTATGATGCCTCGAAGGGAACATAATCCTAAAGTATACAGACGTGTAACTGAAGGCCTCTGTCTTATCTGTTTTTAGTTCCACAGAATAGATTTCAGAAAGACACGCCTCTGACCCACACCTTATGGCAATGTTTACTTTCTGTGTAGAATGTGGAGCTGAGAGAGCGGTGGATGTGACTAATGCAGACTGTGCATCATGGACTTTGTAATTAGTTCAATAGTAAACGGGAATGCAATGTTGTTTTAGCCAATCAGGTTTGTTTTTGGCTTTTTGGGCAGTACCATGGCTTCTCTGAGCAGGATTATCTGTTGCAGGTAGGTGCACAGGAAATACAACATCTGCAGGTCATTTTCTCTAAAAAAAACATGAATATAGATCAAATTAGAAAAACAAAGTGACTGTGTAATGTTAGCTTACATGATTAATGTTATATTTGGATTAGATGACTCAGAAGATCCATATTAGTTGAAGATTAGGTTTGAAGATTAAAAAAAAGAGAGATAATAAAAAATAAATGTATGAAAATATGGCTTTTTGTGCTAGACCTGAGTTGAAAGGCAAGGCTCTCAATTTATACAAACTTTAAAAATATAATTGTCCGAAAAGGGATTGAAATGAGCCTCAGAGATATGAGGAGCTCGAACTAGAGCTGCTGCTTCTCTTTGCTGTTAATCTGCGAGGTGTTTCGGGCAGAACTGCGTCCTTCAGATGGGATTGCCTCAGAAGTCTCCGAGTGGGAACGAGTCAGAGGAAGTGTTTGTGGGCGCCTCTTCTTCCAAAACCCAAAAATTAGAAATTCACAAAAAAGTGAAGTGTTAAACAAAAGGCTGAAAAGTCAGACGAGATTTTTAGTCGAACCAAAAAGTCAGAATTTGATCAGATCCATTAAAGATTGTTAAAATATTTCATGTATTTTAAAGTATATTGCAATTACCCGAATTGTTAAATGTTATTGTTTGTTTTGACCTTTTCTGGTGAAACTCCAAAAAATGAATTGCTCAAAAGTTCAGAGAATTTTACCTTTTGTGAGCCCAGTTACCACTTCATATTAATCAGTCATTTTATAATTTCACAATATTCAAATACAGAATAATTTGACCAAAATCTCATTTTTCTCGTCTCAATGAAAGACAAATCCTCTTTCAGGACGTGAAGCAGTTTAGACAGAGGAAGCTTTGTAAGAGTCTGTTTACACGCACACACACACAGAGACACACACACACACAGACAGACGCACGCACACACACACACACACACAGACAGATAGACGCACACACACACACACACGCACACACACACGCACGCACGCGCACACACACAGACAGACGCACACACACACACACTCACACACGCACACACACACACACACAGAGACACACACACACAGACAGACGCACACACACGCACGCACGCACGCACGCACACACACACACACACACACACACGCACACACACACACAGACAGACAGACGCACACACACACACGCACGCACGCACGCACACACACACACACACACACACACACACGCACACACACGCAGAGACAGACGCACACACACTCACTCTCACACACACACACACACACACACACAGTGACACATGTTCTGTCTTGCAGTCTGCTGATCCTGATCCTTCTGTTTGCTCTGATCATCATCATCATTTTGGCTTTTACTTTCACTGGTAATGTAGAACAAATGGTTTTATTAAAAAAAATATATAAAAAGTTTAAAGGAAACATTTTATTAGAACATTTTATATTAATCTTATCACTATCATCATCATCGTTATAATTACGACTTTTTCAGGTCGTGATTTTTCATATTCAATAATCATAATGCATAATCAATATGCATGATTTATGCATAGTCAAGGTCTATGCAATAAAACATCTGGGAAAGGTTTAATAAAGAAGTTCAATATTTGAATAGAACGACCACATAATGATAAAGATGATTAATGGTCCGTGTACTTTTGCGTTCAATACATTTTCTATTTTTGAAGTGAAATGGAAAATCAAAAAAAGGCTATTTTGCATTTTCAGGCACACAATATACAAAAATTACCATTTTATATTTTTTTATTTTTTTAATTCCCTATGAGACATGTACATTATAATAACCGGATTTGGGAACTAGAAAATGCAATAATTAGTGCAGTAATCGATTGACGCCTAAAATTTAAAGGTCAATTTTAGCATTTTCTAGTTCTCAAGCCCTTTAATGATGACAGATTAGGGCCCTTTAATGATGACAGATTAGGGCCCTTTAATGATGACAGATTAGGGCCCTTTAATGATGAAAGATTAGGGCCCTTTAATGATGACAGATTAGGGCCCTTTAATGATGAAAGATTAGGGCCCTTTAATGATGACAGATTAGGGCCCTTTAATGATGACAGATTAGGGCCCTTTAATGATGACAGATTAGGGCCCTTTAATGATGATAGATTAGGGCCCTTTAATGATGACAGATTAGGGCCCTTTAATGATGACAGATTAGGGCCCTTTAATGATGACATATTAGAGCCTTTTAATGATGACAGATTAGGGCCCTTTAATGATGACAGATTAGGGCCCTTTAATGATGACAGATTAGGGCCCTTTAATGATGACAGATTAGGGCCCTTTAATGATGACAGATTAGGGCCCTTTAATGATGACATATTAGAGCCCTTTAATGATGACAGATTAGGGCCCTTTAATGATGACAGATTAGGGCCTCTATTCACAGTATATTTTTATCATCTGTGTGATTATAACTCCATCTCCCGCTGCCTTTAGGGAGACTTTCCTCCGTGTTGAGCTTCGATGAGTCTCCTGTTGCTAATCTGGGAGAGAACCACCTCCTCAGCTGCTTCCTGACCTCAGACCCGGCCCCAGCACTGTCCAGAACCACCGTGACCTGGACCAAGCGCGGCGTGTCCGGAGTGGTGTTCCGCTTTCAGAACGGAGCCGTGACCCTGCAGAACCAGAGCCCGCAGTTCAAAGGCCGAGCAGCGCTGTCCCGGGACGAGCTGCGGACCGGGAACGCCTCGCTGCTCCTGTCCGCCGTGAGGAGCCAGGACCGCGGACACTACACCTGCATCGTGAGCTCTAGCACCGGGGGAGGGGCCGTCACGGTGGAGCTGCGCACCGGAGGTAACCTTAGCCATACTTGCATGTGAAAGCCCTTGTGTCCTTAGGCAAGACACTTCCCCCACATTAGAATTTCATAGAGTTAGGATTTTATAGACATATAGTGAGGGTGAGGGGCACTACACACACTCTGAATAGAGCTGCTTCTCCTCCATGTCGAGAGGAACAAGTTGAGGCCCCAATTTCCCTGAGAATAAAGTGGGAATTCTGGGCCTCCCCGCTCAGACTGATGCCACTGGAACCGGCCCCTGATAAAACAGAACAAAGTTAATGAATAGACTTCGGGCTAATTACAGTTGGCAGAGAATTTCTTGGAAACATTTTATCTCCTGTTTGGCCCGACATGAAAATGAATATGTAATACCCACAATATGTATTCAGTCATATTATTAAAGGAGCAGTGTGTCCAAAAGTGGTACTGCAGCCTCTCCCACTCTCCCTGACTCAGGTTGCCAGATATGCAGATGAATCCAGCTGGGACCATAACAGCTGAATAGACAAGAGTTTAGTCAACAACAAATCTATAACCAACACCTTTTTCACAAAGATAGAAATCCTGGTTTTATTCCTTGTTTTGTCGTTAATGATTTGAGAATCATAACGAGACCTGGTTTAGTTCTGCGCCACATGGTACTTTACCAGTGAGATTAGCTCCACGCGGTGAGTTCTGGCGCCCGGATCACAGACTTTCTGATTGGTGAAACGGTGGAGGGCGGGACATCGGAATGAAAACAATAACAAGATTTAGAGGCTGGAAAAGTAATTTAGAAATTCAAATATCTCTGAACGACTGTTATCAGTTAAAGAAGTATTGGAAAAGAGCAGTTTATTATAGGGCTGTCAAAATTATCGCGTTAACGCACGTTAATAAAAAAAATGCATTAATCGCGTAAAAAAAATTAAGGCATTTGACGCATGCCCATGCGTCCCATAATAACACTCAGAATGCCGCGGACACATGCGTGTGTAAGATGGGGACAGAGCAGGTCTCTGGGAATTCAAGTTTTGAAAGAATACACGTGTGACCGCGGGGCACTTGTTGTTTCCTGTATAAACTCTGCATGATGAGCTGCGGGCGCCACAGCGCTCTGGACAGCAGCACCACTTCCAGCGGCTGTGATCACGGCGAACGGCGCTGCGTAATGGGATCATATCCAAGACCACGCGCAGAACTATTACAGAACTATTCTCTAGTGTGCGTACGTGTCTTTGTGTAACCTATGCACACAATATGTACAGAGCAGAAGCTGGAGGAGCCTCAGTCTCCTCCGTGTCTTCTCCCAAAGCCCACTCGCTAAATTAAAGCTGAGGTACCTAATTTTCCTTTCGACCATCAGTTCATGTTTAGTTGTGCCAAAATAGTAATGGGTTGAGCAAATGAAACAGATTTAATGACATTCTGCTTCAGACTATTTTGAAATGTCCCTCATCTGTAACAAACAATGGTTTTGGTCTGAGTCTAAACAGAAAGACAGAATGTTAATAATGTTAATGGATTTATTGTTATAACAAACAAATACAGTTGTTCACTAAGCTGTCATTTATCTTTCCATTCAAACAACCATTTACAGAAAAATATGGCATAATTTTGCCAATAGTTTAAAATGTGATTAATTACGATTAATTAATTTTTAAGATGTAATTAACTCGATTAAAAAAATGAATTGTTTGACAGCCCTAGTTTATTATTATGACAGATTAGGGCCCTTTAATGATGACAGATTAGGGCCCTTTACTGACAGATTAGGGCCCTTTAATGAGGGCAGATTAGGGCCCTTTAATGATGACATATTAGGGCCTGTTAATGATGACAGATTAGGGCCCTTTAATGATGACAGATTAGGGCCCTTTAATGATGACAGATTAGGGCCCTTTAATGATGACAGATTAGGACCCTTTAGGACAGATTAGGGCCCTTTAGTGATGACAGATTAAGGCCCTTTAATGATGACAGATTAGGGCCCTTTAATGATGATAGATTAAGGCCCTTTAATAACGACGGATTAAGGCCCTTTAATAATGACAGATTAGGGCCCTTTAAAACAGATTAGGGCCCTTTAATGATGAAAGATTAGGGCCCTTTAATTATGACAGATTAGGGTCCTTTAAAACAGATTAGGGCCCTTTAATGATGAAAGATTAGGGCCCTTTAATTATGACAGATTAGGGTCCTTTAAAACAGATTAGGGCCCTTTAATGATGACAGATTAGGGCCCTTTAAATGTAGTTTATAACCAGCAAACGTTCCATTGTCCAGTTTTAACACAAACTGATATGAACCTTTTTTTATTCCAGCCTTTTCTGCACCGTCCTTTACTTTATCCAAAAAAAACTTGACGGCTGTGGCAGAGCGGTGGTTTCCAGAACCCAGAGTCACCTGGACGGACCTCAGTGACACGGTTCTGACCGGGACCACGAGTCTGAGGTCCACTGGTGCTGGAGTCTACAGGCTGGAGACAACACTAACCTCCATTAACAGCAGCAGTACCTTTATTTTGAAGATTGAGAATGACTTAAAGATCTCGGTTTCTCAAGCAACAATAGGTAAAGAAAGCTTCTGATGAGTCCATTGTTTATGATTCTGAATATGTTTGTGTTCTTTTCAGAGTTTCCATTTGGTGTAACGCAGCAAACATACCTGTACAACACCAACATGGCCGCCGCACCGCTGCTTCCATCCACACAACTCACCTCCATATTCTCGGTTTTATTCTTGGGCTTGGCAACTTTACCATGATTAATGAAGGAATTACTTTTTTTCCCTTCTTCCCACTGCTTTTCGAGTATCTGTACGTGTCTCTACGTGTATAATATTTATAATTGTTTATTATGTAAGTGTAACTCAGGGTTATTTATGCACAATTTTGATATTCTACTTTTGGTTCTTGTACACTTATTTGCTCAAAATAAACAAACATGAATGAATGAATGAAGGCTCCTAATAGGCAAAGTGGGTTAAGTGTCTTGCCCAAGGACACAACATCAGCAGACATCGGTGGGAGTCGGTGGAGAAGGTCCAGAGATTGTTCCAGAGGTCCACACAATTCCCCTTTTTACGAGTTTTTGATTGGTCAAATCTGCAACGTAATTATCAGTAAAGAAACAATTGGGTTCTTGTATCCACAGCACGTGCCTCCAACCGAGAGCTCAGGAGCTACTGTCACTCAGGAGCTACTGTCACTCAGGAGCTACTGTCGCTCAGATCAGGAGCTACTGTCGCTCAGGAGCTACTGTCACTCAGGAGCTACTGTCGCTCAGGAGCTACTGTCACTCAGGAGCTACTGTCGCTCAGGAGCTACTGTCACTCAGGAGCTACTGTCACTCAGGAGCTACTGTCACTCAGATCAGGAGCTACTGTCGCTCAGGAGCTACTGTCACTCAGGAGCTACTGTCGCTCAGATCAGGAGCTACTGTCGCTCAGAAGCTACTGTCACTCAGGAGCTACTGTCGCTCAGGAGCTACTGTCACTCAGGAGCTACTGTCACTCAGATCAGGAGCTACTGTCGCTCAGGAGCTACTGTCACTCAGGAGCTACTGTCGCTCAGATCAGGAGCTACTGTCGCTCAGGAGCTACTGTCACTCAGGAGCTGCTGTCACTCAGGAGCTACTGTCGCTCAGATCAGGAGCTACTGTCGCTCAGGAGCTACTGTCGCTCAGGAGCTACTGTCGCTCAGATCAGGAGCTACTGTCGCTAAGATCAGGAGCTACGGTCGCTCAGATCAGGAGCTACTGTCGCTAAGATCAGGAGCTACGGTCGCTCAGATCAGGAGCTACTGTCGCTCAGATCAGGAGCTACTGTCGCTCAGATCAGGAGCTACTCTCAATCAATCAATCAATCAAAGTTTATTTATAAAGCGCTTTTTCATACAACAGATGCAACACAAAGTGCTTTACAGTTTGGCTAAAAAACAATCCTGCCCATGCCCTCCCCCCGACCGCCCAACAGACCCTCCCCAGACCACAAGCAAACACCCCCCCCCCCCCCCCCCCCCCCCCACACACACACACGCGCACACACACACGCACCGATAAAACAATAAAACGACGATAAAGACGATAAGAGACTTGGCAGGGTTCAGATGCAACCGGCTGAAGAAACGCCATCCAAGGAGCCGTCAGCGCCAGGAGCAGAGAGCCGCCCATAGCCAAAGGGGACGACACAGGACCCAGAGGAGACCCAAAACCGAGGCCCCGGGCCCCCACCAGGTCCAAGAGTCCGACCCCCACAGCCACAGCCAACCACCGCTCCCAGCGCAGAAGGCTCCTCCAGAGGAAACACTGGGGATACTTAAAAACAATACAATAAGTAAAACACTAAAATGTGAGCCTGAGAGGAACTATCACACAAAACATGAATAAAAGCAATAGCAATATAATAAATAATACAGGATAAATAGAATATATAAAAATGGACTAATAAATACTAATCAAAAGCTAATCTAAAAAGGTGTGTCTTGAGCCTGGCTTTAAAAATATGAATGTTCTCTGCGACCCTGAGCTCCTCCGGCAGACTGTTCCAGAGACGGGGGCCGTAGTGCTGGAAAGATGCCTCGCCGTGAGTGTGTGTCCTGACTTTGGGGATGGTTAGGAGTCTGCTGCCGGAGGAGCGCAGGGGCCGGGAGGGTTCATAGGATAAAAGCAGTTCTGAAAGATAAGAAGGCCCAAGACCATTAAGACATTTGAAAACCATTAAAAGAACCTTAAAATCAATCCTGAAACACACGGGGAGCCAATGCAGCGATTTTAAAACCGGTGTAATGTGGTCCCGCCCCCTGGTCTTAGTCAGGACACGTGCGGCCGAGTTTTGAAGTAATTGTAAACCTGAAATGTTCTTTTTGGGAAGACCAGAGAGCAGGGCATTACAGTAGTCAATGCGACTGGTGATAAAAGCATGCATCAGCGTCTCCGTGTTGGCCCGAGAGAGAATGGGGCGGACTCTGGCGATGTTCTTCAAATGATAAAAACCTATTTTTGTTATATTCTTAATGTATATTCTTAATGTGAGGAATAAAAGTCTCACTCAGGAGCTACTCTCACTCAGGAGCTACTCCCGCTCAGGAGCTACTATAGCTCGCCATCTCATTCTATGTAGCTCCTTAAGTGATTTTAAAAATGACAAATAAACTGGAAGTTGAAATTGTAATTATTTTGTCTTGAAACCAGAGTTCTCAGAGGCACAAACTGCTTCAGTCTCAGCTTTATTCATTCTGTAAGTTTTAATAAATGAAGTGATCAAATTTGAACTAAAACTATAATGTTGGAAAATCATGTTTTTAAGCAGTATTTTCCTAACTCAAAATTTTCTCGGATAAAGATAAACACTTTTTATTTCAACCTCTCATTTATTTATTTTCAGGTTGTGCATCAATATCATTATGTATTTTTTACTACATCCAAATGTTGCTCACTGTCATTGTTTTGTTCCAGAAACAGTATCTCTCACTGGGAAAAGGACACACCTGATCTACAGAGTCACAGAGTCACACGTTTCTAATATTTACAGACCATTTTTATAAACTCTGAAACATTCTGTCATGATCCTGCAGTATCGGATGGTGCCACTAGAGGGGGCGGTGGTGACGGTGGAACTACCCAGGGCCCAGGACTACCCCATGGACTACCCCCACACAGGCCTCCAGAGACTCCCATTGGTTTGGCTCTGAGTGCGGTGTCAAATGTCCCCCTGGAAACCTCCTTCTTCGTCTGAAAGTGTCTGAGTGAGCACTGGAATGTAATTACTGCTTTAGTTCACGGTCCGCTTTTCACGCACACAGGAAAGTCCATTTTTAAGACAGGCTTTGTTGTTTATGTTGTTTTAACTCCTTGGTGGTTTGTGGAAGATTCTTGTTTTTGTCTTTTGGAGGATTTCTGAACAGTGCGATGTCTGAGGAAGTCGGACGCGCGGATCAACTCGCCCCAAACTTGGATAAAACACATAACGGGGCCAATGCAAACTCCAGGGCCGTGTGTAACGTGTGCAAACGCCTCTTCCAGGACCCTAAAATCTTACCGTGTCTGCACAGCTTCTGCTCGGACTGCATCTCTCAGCTGGAGCCGTTTTCCGCAGCGCGCACCCGGGGCAGTGGTGCAGGAGAGGGCGCAGTCACGGTGCTGTGTCCGGACTGTGATTCGGAGGTGGATCTGCCTCCCTCTGGAGCGGCCGGACTCAGCACGGACCACTTGGCTCTGGATGAGGTGTTCCTGGAGACGCTGGTGACCGACGGCCCGCTGCCCTGTGACCTCTGCGGGGACGGGGCCGCAGAGAGCCGCTGTGAGGTCTGCGCCAGCAACATGTGCGAGTTCTGTAGCCAGGCCCATAGGTGAGACGTTTTATTCAAGTGTTTTGCAGTAAAACCACATTGGAATACTTTTGCAAACGTCCCCAGTGCGCAGCAGACAGAAGTAAAAAAGTACTGGAATAAAATACTTAACTTTCAAACCATAGCAATTGGAACTATAAATCAACTAAAGCACCAATTAGAGATTCAGAGGGATAGCATGTTGGGGTCCAAGTTGTTCAGGTTTAACATAATGACCTAGTTTTATTTATTTATTTATTTGACAAGGACAGTACAGAAACATTGTCACCCACACGTAACCGATGTCATGTGCACAGGGCTTCTAGTTTAAGGTTATTTTGCAGCCCCGGGCCCTGATTTAACTGACCCATTAACTGACTGTCCATACTACATCCAGGTTTAGTGCTCACACTTCTGATTTTCCTAAAGCCACTTTTTCAGTTTTGTGGAGAAAAGTCTAACGTCCGACTGTGACTTCAGCTCCAGAGGCAAAGAGTTCCACAGACGTGAGGCCTTCACTGAGACCGACCCAGAGTCGTGCAGAACCTTCTCACTCTGCAGCTCGAGTCTGCACACCGTCACTGCTCTACCTTTGGATATCTGCACACAATACTTACACAATTTATAAAATTATAAATTTCAGGTGAAATGTGTAAAATGAATAGAACAGGGGAGTCCAAAGTGGTCAAGAAAGGGTATAGTTTTCGTACAGCCACTGCGGCCTGTTCTGGACCGGTTTGGACTCCCCTGACCTATAGAAGTATAATCTCTGCTCTGATTGGCAGGCGTCAGAAGCGGACCGCCTCGCACTCGGTCCTGGCTCTGTGTGAGTTGAAGTCCCGCGGTCGCCTCTGTCGCCCCGTCCTCTGCCCCCTCCACCCGGGACAGGAGCTGGGCCTGTTCTGTCAGTCCTGTGATGTTCCCGTGTGTGTGGAGTGTGCGTCCACGCTGCACCGGGACCACCGCTGCTGCCCCGCCCACAACGTCATTGACCGCCACGGGGACCGCATCCGGGAACTGGTGTCGGTCCAGCTCCGGCCTCGGCTGGAGCGGCTGGAGGAGGCGCTACAAAAGGTAGTTTTGGTGAATTAAGATCAGGCACAAAGAATCATAACGAGAACTCTGTTAGTTCTACGCCACATGGTACTTTACCAGTGAGAAAAGCTCCACGCTCTCGTTATGATTCTCAAATCATTAACGACAAAACAAGGAATAAAACCTTTGTGAAAAAGGTGTTGGTTATAGATTTGTTGTTGACAAAACTCTTGTCTATTCAGCTGTTATGGTCCCAGCTGGATTCGTCTGCATATCTGGCAACCTGAGTCAGGGAGAGTGGGAGAGGCTGCAGTACCACTTTTGGCCACATGTTTACACTCTGCTCTTTTAAATAAATCAAATTTCAAACAAAAACATGCAACTTAATAACAGTCGAATAGAATGATAGTTTGAACAGTCTCTCTTTGATGTTCTCAGTTGCCCTGTGACAAGTTTCTGGGTTCGATTTATGGGTCAGTCGGGTCTTTCTGAGTGGAGTTTGCATGTTCTCCCCGTGTCAGCGTAGGTTTCCTCCAGGTGCTCCGGTTTCTCCTACCACTAAAAACATGCACAATAGATCTGAATGTAAAGAGTGAATGGAGGGTGTTTGGTCGGAGGCTTTGATGGACCAGTGTGTTCTGGTCTCACTTCTGTCATCACCGTGTGGAGAGAATGGACCTAAATCTGACCTCTTTGGGTCTGTAGCTTGGTCTGTTAAATGCGCTATATAAATAAACATTACTTTCTTACTATTTACAGCTCCTGATCTGTTTCCATGGTGACGTTTCTGCCAAACTGTGTCCTTTAAAACTCTCATGTTGTAAAAATCTTCAGTAGATGTTGTTCAGCCACATTCTGTCCTGTTAAGGTGGATGCGTCCCAGGACCTCCTGACGTCCCGGGTGGAGGAGGTGGCCCAGGAGGTGCGGGCCTTTGCTCGAGGATATGCCAGTGCTGTGGAGACGCACTGCCTATCTCTGCTGCGGCACCTGGAGGAACTTCACAAACAGAGAAGGTTCATACATTCTAGTGTCTGTCCCATGAGTCCAATTAACTCTTCCCTTTTTGAAGAGAACATTAATGGATTGTTCTTACGTTTTTACTGAACCTTTGAACCTTTGAACCGACTGTTTTTTATTCCAACGTGGAGAGAATATTAGACCATGTAATGCAGGGGTTTCCAACTCAGTTTGGTCTGGGCCAAATTTAAAAACATAAAAACATGAAGAGCTGGTTGGTGCCAGAAGTATAAAAGTCATTTGACAAATCAAATTGGACAAAAGTTTGGATGTTATTTTCTAGAAGTTTTAGGCCAAATCGATGACAGATGTTTTGGAAGATTTACAGTAAAATGTAACAATAACTTAGTTCAAACACTTTAACAGACACAACTATTTATTTATTTGTTTATTTATTTATGTTGATAGGGACGATGCACATTAATGAACAGCAGAATTAAACTAAGGTAAATATGCCGGATTATAGCTACTAAACTACTACAACTACATGGGTGTATAAAGATAATTAAAAATCATTTCAGGGGCCACTAAAAATGTCTCAAGGTCCGGACTTGGCCCACGGGTCTGAGTTTGGCCCACGGGTCTGAGTTTGGCCCACGGGTCTGAGTGTGGCCCACGGGTCTGAGTTTAGCCCACGGGTCTTTTAGCCCACGGGTCTGAGTTTAACCCACGGGTCTGAGTTTGGCCCACGGGTCTGAGTGTGGCCCACGGGTCTGAGTGTGGCCCACGGGTCTGAGTGTGGCCCACGGGTCTGAGTGTGGCCCACGGGTCTGAGTTTGGCCCACGGGTCTGAGTTTGGCCCACGGGTCTGAGTGTGGCCCACGGGTCTGAGTTTGGCCCACGGGTCTGAGTTTGGCCCACGGGTTTGAGTGTGGCCCACGGGTCTGAGTGTGGCCCACGGGTCTGAGTTTAGCCCACGGGTCTGAGTTTAGCCCACGGGTCTGAGTTTAGCCCACGGGTCTGAGTTTGGCCCACGGGTCTGAGTTTAGCCCACGGGTCTGAGTTTAGCCCACGGGTCTGAGTTTGGCCCACGGGTCTGAGTTTGGCCCACGGGTCTGAGTTTGGCCCACGGGTCTGAGTTTGGCCCACGGGTCTGAGTTTGGCCCACGGGTCTGAGTTTAGCCCACGGGTCTGAGTTTAGCCCACGGGTCTGAGTTTGGCCCACGGGTCTGAGTTTGGCCCACGGGTCTGAGTTTGGCCCACGGGTCTGAGTTTGGCCCACGGGTCTGAGTTTAGCCCACGGGTCTGAGTTTAGCCCACGGGTCTGAGTTTGGCCCACGGGTCTGAGTTTGGCCCACGGGTCTGAGTTTGGCCCACGGGTCTGAGTTTGGCCCACGGGTCTGAGTTTGGCCCACGGGTCTGAGTTTAGCCCACGGGTCTGAGTTTGGCCCACGGGTCTGAGTTTGGCCCACGGGTCTGAGTTTGGCCCACGGGTCTGAGTTTGGCCCACGGGTCTGAGTTTGGCCCACGGGTCTGAGTTTGGCCCACGGGTCTGAGTTTGGCCCACGGGTCTGAGTTTGGCCCACGGGTCTGAGTTTGGCCCACGGGTCTGAGTTTGGCCCACGGGTCTGAGTTTAGCCCACGGGTCTGAGTTTAGCCCACGGGTCTGAGTTTAGCCCACGGGTCTGAGTTTGGCCCACGGGTCTGAGTTTGGCCCACGGGTCTGAGTTTGGCCCACGGGTCTGAGTTTGGCCCACGGGTCTGAGTTTGGCCCACGGGTCTGAGTTTGGCCCACGGGTCTGAGTTTAGCCCACGGGTCTGAGTTTAGCCCACGGGTCTGAGTTTGGCCCACGGGTCTGAGTTTGGCCCACGGGTCTGAGTTTGGCCCACGGGTCTGAGTTTGGCCCACGGGTCTGAGTGTGGCCCACGGGTCTGAGTTTGGCCCACGGGTCTGAGTTTGACATGCCTGGTGTAATGGAACATTTAAGTCCTGATTTGTCTTTTCTCTTTCTCATAAAACCATATTTGTATTTCCAAAGTGCTACATAACATTTCCTGATTTTGGGAGATCCTAAAAACCTTTTCCTGCAGAAACCAGCTGCACCTGCAGAGGGCGCAGCTGAGCCAGGCGCTGCAGGACGTCCGAGGAGGAGTGGACTTTGCAGAGAGACTGTTGAGCTGTGGTTCGGACGCAGAGATCCTCAGCGCCAAAGGAGTGACGCTGCAGAGACTGAGCCGGCTGTCCCAGGGCAGCTGCGACTCGCTGACCGCTGCAGCTGTGGACGATGGCTCCACCCTCTGCTTTCTGCCCTCGGAGTCAGCGGGAGACGTCCACGGTTTCCCGGTGGTCGGAATAATCCACGGAAAGACGACCGACCCGAGCAAGTGCACGGTGGAAGGAGAAGGTAAAGTCGATCTGTCGTTCAGAAAAACATGCTAAAGTTTGTGTTTCCATCGTGAGAGAAATGAAACTAAACATATTTTTGACTTTCACAGATTTTGACCAAATACAGTTTTTTCTGTTTTCTGAACATTTTGAAGTGATGTTTTATGCGAATTAAGCAGGTTTGAGTGAACTGCATTGTCTTATTTAGAGAATTTTGATGATTGAACAACATTACAGAGGCCTTTAAGAAAACTGAATCCATGAAGGACAATCATATAATAAGATATATAATTGTCCCATCAGTCGGCAAAAACAATAAAACATAAATACACACATTTTGTTCAAAAAATCTGCTGGAAAAGTGTGACTGAACTCATGTTGTGTAACAGTAATTGATTGGTCTAAAAGCTCCATAAACTTAGGGTACATAAAAAACACAAACACACACATATGCAAAAACACAGACAAACACACAGACACACACACACACACATAAGCACACACACAGACTCACTCACAGACACACACATACTCACTCACAGGCACACACACACACACACACACACACGGTCTCACTCACAGACACACACACATGCACACACACAGACTCACTCACACACTCACAGACACACACACACACACACAAACACACAGACACGCACACAAACACACACACACAGACACACACACGCACACAAACACACACACACAGACTCACTGCAGCTGCTGAAGGAGGAGGAACGAGGCTTTAGTTAAAGACTATTGTTACGTTGAAATTCCTTTAGAGCAGAAGGAATGTTCCAGGAGCCTGTGGGAAAGACACACACACACACACACACACACACACACACACTTACAGCATACACACACACACACACAACATTAAACTGTGGAATGTGATATTCTTTAACCAATTATTTGAGAATAATAATTTAATTGCATCATTAAATATACAGTATTATAAAAGACAAAAACAGAAGTGAATTACCCGAATAATCTGTTTTTATTTCATGTTGTTATCTCACTGACCATGATCTGTGGTGGCCCTCTCGCTTCTCAGCAAGAAGGTCCTGGGTTTGAATCCCGGTCAGAACAGGGCCTCTTTGAGTGGAGTTTGCATGTTCTCCCTGTGTCTGTGTAGGTTTCTTCCGGGTGCTCCGGTTTCACCTACCACTAAAAACATGCACAATATGAATGTAAATGAGTGAGTGAATGGAGGGTGTTTGGTCAGAGGCTTTGATGGACCAGTGTGTTCTGGTCTCGCTTCCTTCGTCACCGTGTGGAGAGAATGGAACAAAACCTGAATCTGAAAAGGATCTATATGAATAAACATTACTTATTCATTACTTACTCATTACTTACTCATGAATGATGTTGCCTCAGGACTGCAGCAGTGTAGTGTGAGCCAGACTGGACTCTTCACTCTGGTCTGCCGGGACTCTGCCGGGGACCAGCTGACCCGAGGAGGAGACCATGTGGTGGTTAGCATTGCCCACAAAGAAAAGAGAAACTGGTGAGTCCAACATCCCAGACTCAGACAGTGTTGTTAGTGTCGTTAGTGTTGCTAGTGTCGTTAGTGTTGTTAGTGTTGTTAGTGTTGTTAGTGTCGTTAGTGTTGTTAGTGTTGTTTGTGTTGTTAGTGTTGTTTGTGTTGTTAGTGTTGTTAGTGTTGTTAGTGTTGCTAGTGTCGTTAGTGTTGTTAGTGTTGTTAGTGTTGTTAGTGTTGTTAGTGTTGTTTGTGTTGTTTGTGTTGTTAGTGTTGTTAGTGTTGTTAGTGTCGTTAGTGTTGTTTGTGTTGTTAGTGTTGTTAGTGTTGTTAGTGTTGCTAGTGTCGTTAGTGTTGTTAGTGTTGTTAGTGTTGTTAGTGTTGTTAGTGTTGTTAGTGTTGTTAGTGTCGTTAGTGTTGTTAGTGTTGTTTGTGTTGTTAGTGTTGTTAGTGTTGTTAGTGTCGTTAGTGTCGTTAGTGTTGTTAGTGTTGTTTGTGTTGTTAGTGTTGTTTGTGTTGTTAGTGTTGTTAGTGTTGCTAGTGTCGTTAGTGTTGTTAGTGTTGTTAGTGTTGTTAGTGTTGTTAGTGTTGTTAGTGTTGTTAGTGTTGTTTGTGTTGTTAGTGTTGTTAGTGTTGTTAGTGTCGTTAGTGTTGTTTGTGTTGTTAGTGTTGTTAGTGTTGTTAGTGTTGCTAGTGTCGTTAGTGTCGTTAGTGTTGTTAGTGTTGTTAGTGTCGTTAGTGTTGTTAGTGTTGTTTGTGTTGTTAGTGTTGTTTGTGTTGTTAGTGTTGTTAGTGTTGTTAGTGTTGCTAGTGTCGTTAGTGTTGTTAGTGTTGTTAGTGTTGTTAGTGTTGTTAGTGTTGTTTGTGTTGTTAGTGTTGTTAGTGTTGTTAGTGTTGTTAGTGTCGTTAGTGTTGTTTGTGTTGTTAGTGTTGTTAGTGTTGTTAGTGTTGCTAGTGTCGTTAGTGTTGTTAGTGTTGTTAGTGTTGTTAGTGTTGTTAGTGTTGTTAGTGTCGTTAGTGTTGTTAGTGTTGTTTGTGTTGTTAGTGTTGTTAGTGTTGTTAGTGTCGTTAGTGTTGTTAGTGTTGTTTGTGTTGTTAGTGTTGTTTGTGTTGTTAGTGTTGTTAGTGTTGTTAGTGTTGCTAGTGTCGTTAGTGTTGTTAGTGTTGTTAGTGTTGTTAGTGTTGTTAGTGTTGTTAGTGTTGTTTGTGTTGTTAGTGTTGTTAGTGTTGTTAGTGTCGTTAGTGTTGTTTGTGTTGTTAGTGTTGTTAGTGTTGTTAGTGTTGTTAGTGTTGTTAGTGTTGCTAGTGTCGTTAGTGTTGTTAGTGTTGTTAGTGTTGTTAGTGTTGTTAGTGTTGTTAGTGTTGTTAGTGTTGTTAGTGTTGTTAGTGTTGTTAGTGTTGTTAGTGTTGTTAGTGTTGTTAGTGTTGTTTGTGTTGTTTGTGTTGTTAGTGTTGTTAGTGTTGTTTGTGTTGTTAGTGTTGTTAGTGTCGTTAGTGTTGTTAGTGTTGTTTGTGTTGTTAGTGTTGTTTGTGTTGTTAGTGTCGTTAGTGTTGTTTGTGTTGTTAGTGTTGTTTGTGTTGTTAGTGTTGTTAGTGTTGCTAGTGTCGTTAGTGTTGTTAGTGTTGTTAGTGTCGTTAGTGTTGTTTGTGTTGTTAGTGTTGTTAGTGTTGTTAGTGTCGTTAGTGTTGTTAGTGTTGTTTGTGTTGTTAGTGTTGTTTGTGTTGTTAGTGTCGTTAGTGTTGTTTGTGTTGTTAGTGTTGTTTGTGTTGTTAGTGTTGTTAGTGTTGCTAGTGTCGTTAGTGTTGTTAGTGTTGTTAGTGTCGTTAGTGTTGTTAGTGTTGTTAGTGTTGTTAGTGTTGTTAGTGTCGTTAGTGTTGTTAGTGTTGTTTGTGTTGTTAGTGTTGTTAGTGTTGTTAGTGTCGTTAGTGTTGTTAGTGTCGTTAGTGTTGTTAGTGTTGTTAGTGTTGTTAGTGTTGTTAGTGTCGTTAGTGTTGTTAGTGTTGTTTGTGTTGTTAGTGTTGTTTGTGTTGTTAGTGTTAGTGTTGTTAGTGTTGTTAGTGTTGTTAGTGTTGCTAGTGTCGTTAGTGTTGTTAGTGTTGTTAGTGTTGTTAGTGTTGTTAGTGTTGTTTGTGTTGTTAGTGTTGTTAGTGTTAGTGTTAGTGTCGTTAGCGTCGTTAGCGTCGTTAGCGTCGTTAGCGTCGTTAGCGTTGTTAGCGCGTCGTTAGTGTTTTGTGTAAAGTTATGTTTTAGTCGTGAAAATATCTTTGAACTCATTTGGGAATTAGCCCCGGATTTAAAGAAGTTAAAGGTGCAGTAAACGATTTTGTTAGCTTAGCCGTAGCACCAACTCCAAACCACTCCCCCCTCCCTCTCCACCAAACCACTCCCCCCCCCCCTCCCTCTCCACCAAACCACTCCCCCCTCCCCTCCCTCTCCACCAAACCACTCCCCCCTCCCCTCCCTCTCCACCAAACCACTCCCCCCTCCCCTCCCTCTCCACCAAACCACTCCCCCCTCCCCTCCCTCTCCACCAAACCACTCCCCCCTCCCTCTCCACCAAACCACTCCCCCCTCCCCTCCCTCTCCACCAAACCACTCCCCCCTCCCCTCCCTCTCCACCTCCCCTCCCCTCTCCATGAATGAATCCCATTGGTTTGTTTTTATCGGTCCGCTCCAAAATATTTGTTATTAATTGGTGCAGACTATAGACATCTGGTCAATTCCATGACTATTTGAAAACACAGGATAACTTGATTCTTTTAGGGTTTAGGGACGTTTTCCACAATATTTAAAAAAATGGGTCGGTAAAAAATCACTGAGTGCATCTTTAAATGAATTGTTGTTTGGATGTTCTGAAGTCTAAACAACTTTGTGGTTTTACTGCAAATGGCAAATAAATGAATCTGAATCTAAAGTCCTGACAATGACGTGAATGTCTCTGCAGTGTAATCGTGACGTCGGTCGTGGATAACAGCGACGGGACGTACAGCGTGTCCTACACCCCTGAAGAGCTCGGGTCCTACTCTGTGTGGGTCTGTGTCCGAACCCAACATGTCAAGGTACAGTCACGATGGCTCATGAACCTATTCTTTTGGGATGTTTATCAGAGCAGCCACGGAGCCCTCCCTGATTCAGGAGGAGGCTCGGTCAGCCAGAAAAAGAGGGTAAAGTGTCTGGCTCAAGGACACAACAACAGCAGACATCAGTGGGAGTTGGTGGAGGAGGTCTCTTGGGGGGATTGAACCCATGACTGTCAGGCCCAAAGCCACCAACTGAGGCACTGTCGCCCTAAGACTGGTTCAGATGAAGTTAAATCTCACAAATGTATACTCATGTTTTTAAGTTCATGTTTACAATAATTTCACATAAAAGTTACAAATGTTACACATCATTTTAAAGTGCAATTTTAAGTTAAAGTTATTTCCTATTTTTTTTACTAATTTTGGACACTAGGAACGTTTTGATGATAGAACTATGTTTGGGGAATAGTTATCTGGACACACCCTTTTGTTTTGTGGTTTTCATTTTCCTCACGACCGAGAAACAATCCTTTGGAAGGTTTTGTGTTTTATTCCCAGTTTGAGTAAAGCGGCCAATGAGGTGTGTCTTATAAGTGTCCTCATTGAGAGCTTAGGTACATGTTTTAGGCCACAGTGGCTCAGTGTGTAGAGTATTGGCCTTTGAGCCAGAAGGTTGTGGGTTCGAGCCCACCTCAAGACTTTCACCATCGACTCCCACTGATGTCTGCTGTCGTTGTGTCCTTGGGCAAGACACTTAACCTCTGGGAACAGCAGGTGCCACAGTGGGGCGGCTGTGGCTGTAAAGTGCCAAACTGTGGTTGTGTCCTTAGGCAAGACACTTCCCCCACAGTAGAATGAGTCTGGTGTGTGTGTGAATGGTTGGTGGTGGTGGGAGGGGCCGATGGCACAGACTGGTTGCCTCGCTTCTGTCAGTGTGCCCCAGGGCAGCTGTGGCTACAGTAGTTTGTCATTGCTGTGTTTGGAGAGAGAGGATAATGATGTGAAGAAGAAAAAAAGCGCTTTATAAAACCGATACATTATTATTATTTTTCACGTTCCTTTCAGTTCTGACTGCATGTTTGTCAATGTTGGCCTCTCTCCTCTGGACGAATAAATGTCTGTTTAAAACTTAAGAAGGGTTTTGAGCCTTGATAAACTCAGAGGGAGTAATAAAGTTGTTTTTGAACTGTTCTCACAAACTCCTTCTTCTATACAGTATATTATTATTTTTCCATTTAATATTGTTCTGAAGCGTGAGTAAAAGGTTTGCCCTGTCCACAGCTCGAGGGATGTCGATACAACTCCACCTCGTTCTGCTGCTATGAACCCAAACCCATTCCTCTGTTTCCAGGGCTCTCCATTCACACTGAACATAAAGAGGAAGCTGAGGCGCCACAGCGGGACGTTTCACTGCTGTTCTTTCTGCTCCAGCGGAGGGTCCAAAGAGGCTCTCTGCGGCTGCCCGGGAACCATGCCAGGTCTGTCACACTACACCTGAACCTGCGGCTGGTCTTTGTGAGGCAATATCAGCAGCAGCAGCAGACCAGGGAGGACGCATTACAACAGGGAAACATAACGACGAAATCCTGCAATTACAGCAGCCAATGAAATGTGGAGGAAATGTCTTGGGTTTGTAATGAGCTGGTTTGAATTCGGCAAAACTACCAAAATAATACCACCTCATAATCACAACACTTTTACGATAAGATAAGACTTTATTGATCTCTGATGGAGAAATTATGCACAATAAAAAAGTGGCAATTATAGAAACAGCAGCAATAGTAGTGCAGCTTTTTAGTCCTGGTGCATTAGTGACTTAAAGTGACTTATTGTACAGTCTGACAGCGGTGGGGGATAAAGGCCCTTGCTTATCTTGCCATTTTCTTTTAGTTATTTAGTGTAGTGTACGTGATTCAATACAAAGAAAAAATATGAGAAATGAACATGTTTGACATTTGTTAATGCTGTTTTACCCTACAGTCCTAACTGACAAAATCACACAGACAAAGGACACAGTTCAGGCATTCTTTAATCTTGGTTGCATTTCCAAAGAGACAAGTCTAGAGACAGCTCAGCCTCTTTCCCAGAACATGTCTGCTTCAAAACAGGCTGCAAAGTCCTTTTTAAGAAGATAAGACACACCTCCACTTCCACACACAGTCTGCAGTCTCACAGGAAGGAGCCACAGAGAACAGAGAGCAACATGCTGGAGCCAAAAATCAATCATTTCAGTATAAAATCCATCTAGCCTGGTCGTACCACACTATAGTACTAATTACATTTAAGGTCTGGATTGTCTCCATTGACACCGTTAACAGGTGGGAGGGGTTAACTTCTTTTGCAGATTGAAACCATTGGAGCTGAGTTTACTGTGACGTATGTAATGAGCCCGAGTGAGTTGTTAGCATTTAGCATTTAGCCTAGCTTTAGCCATCTCCTTTGCCGCTAACGGAGCCCGTGGGGAGCGATTACATTTGCTAAACATTCCTCTTGCTCAGGCTTCAGTTTCTTGATAGTAAAGTTTTCTGGTCTGGTTCTATTGCATTCTTCACCAAACTACAACCTTCCCGTTCAACACAAACTCTGACGTCACCCACATCTAACTACAACACCCGCCTCCCGCGCTCTCTGATTGGTCGGATGGAATTCAACCGATTGTAATCACAAACACAGGGACCAGACCCAGACGTTACCTGCAGGACATGATGATTGACCTGAGAGTACGGATGGATAAGACCAGACTACAATATATCTAGCCACAATGGGAATTATTAAAATGATAACTAAAACAAAATTCCTATTCCATAAATGCTAAATCATAACGACAACAGCGGCGACATTAACAGATGGATGGAGAAGGCCATAGCGAGCTCAAAATAAGCTTAAATATGAAAACTTATATTTAATCCTTGCTTTTAGAGATTTGTTTTCCTCTTGCATCTCATTGTTGTGTGTGTCAGGTGGATTCAAAGGTTGCGGTCACGGTCATAAGGGGCACCCAGGGAAGCCGCACTGGTCGTGTTGTGGCTGTACGGTGGAGAAGTCCGAGTGTTTGCCAGAAAGTGTGACTGCTGTGATGACGCGAGGGCACCTGAGGACCGTGGAGCTCTGAGGGACAATGTGGAGGTTACGAACGTAGACACTAAAGGAGGCAGACGACCAGGAACTGCCAGCTGTGGTAATAATAGTCTCAATGACCAAAAAACAAATGACAAGACAATCGTACACCATTCAGCCCCACCATGATGTTCATCGGTCTCAACTTGCACATTAGAGAAGCACAGTTTTTCTCTACTTTGCCGTTACTGAACAGCTTGAAACGTGTGCGATAATAACAAAATGATAATGTATAGTACTTCCTGTTTGACTGTCCATGACATCACATTCTATTCTTACACTGTGGTGGTACACTGTAGCCACAAGTTTACAAATCTGTGCTGATTATGCGCCAACAATCATCAGGGTGCTTGAAAGTCTTAATGGTAGAATTTGACAGTGTGCTCAAAGGCTTTGTGAACTGAGACACAGGAAGGTAGGCTATAAAACTATACTTGTACTAACTGGTCACGTTCTGTATTAGCCTGAATGATCCAACGCTAGCTTAGCTTAGCCTGGTCTGGCACATGTTTGTGATGTCACTGCTGAGGTCCATTGACACAGAGATAGCCGAGTGGTCAACAAAAATGGGTTGTTGCGTGTTTTCGAAGGCAGTAGGCACACAATTATACAAGTACATAAAGTTAAGGTCTTGGGGAAAAAAAAAATCAGTTTAAAAAAAGTCTGGAATTTTAATTTGGAAAAAGAGAAAGCACCCCTGAATCATTCAGGTAAATACCAAACTTATTTTAGGCAGTGTGGGTGACGTGGGTTTCTAAACAAGTCAGTGACAGTTAGACGCTTTACTGCAGCTGCTCCATGTTCACTTATGTTCCCAGAGGTCTCCCATCATGGTTCTACCCAGGCACTGTCCTCTTAGCTTCTAAGCGTACCTGCGTTGAAACAAGTAGACCAACCAGACTTACTTTGTGCGTATTTAATGATATCTTAAACACCAAAACATGTTCAGGGAAAATATTTTACTAAATGACATGACTTGTATTCTCTCAATATGCTGCTAATATCAACTGACCTGATTTCTTTCAATTTCTCCTTGGAAAAAGTTTTAACACTTATTTTTTTAAGTATATACTGTAGCATTGTATATTTTTGCCGATTATAATTTAGTCGCCGTTGTCTACTACTGTCTGTCTTCTGACTTCATGATTCTGACACAATAAATATTTTCAGAATTAATCGTAGCATTTACAGTCTGAGTTGATCATTTCTGTGTATTTTCATTACATTTATAGATATACAGAACAGGCAGAAAATGTTAAAATAATTGTGTAACGTGGCCGCCGTTCCATTTCAAACCAGCAGATGGCAGTACATAGCCACATTCCTCCTTTAGCCCAATAACAAACAGACCAGTGGGTTTCAATGCTGTAAAAACACCTGGACTTCCGGTTATGGTGCGCTCCTAACAGCACGTGCGTCCGAGGCTCAGGTGTAACTTTTTAACTAATAACAATCAGACACTCAGTACTATGGACTAAACAGCAGTAACATCTTTGAACAACGCAAGGAACCAGAATGCCACCTAAACTGAATGCCGGGAAGACCGGGAAATCTTCTAAACCCGGGGGTAATTCCCCGTGCGCTGTTGAGCTAGCGGGGGAGCTAAGTAGCATTGAGGCTGGCAATGAGAAGGCTAGCGATAGCTCGTGTGAGATACTAGCCGCTATCAGCTCTCTAAGTAGTGAATTCTCGTCAATGAAAGAATACTTTGCGTCAAAATTGGACGGTTTACTGGGGGCTGTTAACAAAGTGCAAGAAGATTTGACAGCACTGACGAATCGGACAACTGAAGCTGAACGGAGAATAAGTTCAAATGAAGACGAGCTGTCCCGCATGGGAGCCCAAACTAGCTTGACTACAGCCAGAGTGGAGGAGCTCCTGCGTAAAGTGGATGACCTGGAAAACCGTGCTCGCCGCTCGAATATACGACTGGTTGGCCTCCCAGAGTCAAAAGAAGGATTGGATATGTGTGTTTTTTTGGAGAGATGGATTCCAACGACGCTCGGGGAACGCAACTTTCCACAACCTCTGGTGATTGAAAGGGCACACAGAGTTGGCCGAATGTGGAATAACGGTACTGCTTCGGGATCACAAGATCCCACCGTGCGACCCAGAGCAGTGGTTATGAACAGTGTTGGGCACGTTACTTTGAAAAAGTAATTAGTTATAGTTACTAGTTACTTCTCCCAAAAAGTAACTGAGTTACTAACGGAGTTACTCCACTATAAAAGTAACTAGTTACCAGTAAAAGTAACTATTGCGTTACTTTTTCGTTTTGTTCTGGAACATAATGTGCACCCGACGTGCGCATTTTTACCTTTAACAGTGCCAATATTTCCATCTAGAAAAGGCTGTTTTGCTGCTGAAGTCCTGTTCACTCTTCATCTCTCACTGTGCTGTACAGCCCGCCACTGTGAATGTGGAAACACCGGTGAAGCACTGACTTCAGCCCAATCAGATGAACATATATATCATATAACAGCTAAATCAAGTGGACAATTTGTTTGGCTACAGCAAAATATGTTTTATGCCCGCATTGTTTGTTCATACAAAACGCAAAACTATGAGTTATGGGTCTTACCTTATAAATGACCTGCACAGACCACTTCGGTTCAGACCAGTTCTGTGTTTAAGTCCAGATAATAGTTTGAGCGTAGATATGTAATCCTCCATTTGGAAATGAGTTTTAAAAAGTAAAACAAAACGCGTGTGTCCTCCGTAAACTCCTCTGTTTTGCTGCAGCCGGGTGCATCCAATTTCTAAAATCAACCGTCTTACACTTGTCCTCTTTCTTATCATTCCTATAGTAATTGAAAAATTACCGTTAGTGCATTTTAAATTATCTTAAAATGTGTTATATGTATGTTAGCCAAACTTGTTGCAGCCCTTAGCAGATAAACCAGGAAGAGAAAGGAGCTTTCAGATGGAATTGTATGCAGCCTTCTGCGCTCACATGCGCTCCTCTGTGGCTGACCTCACGGTGATACAAGCTGTGGTTGAGCGCGACTAAGACCCATATTTGTTTCAAAAACACAATTTATGACCATCCTCTCAACTGTAGACATGTGGATTGTAAAGGAAATAAGTTTTACATCAGCCAATAATTGCTGAGAGGTTTTCTCATCCTCCCTTCTCTCATGACAACACGTTCATTGTGCGTCTTTAGTAACGCGCAGTAACGGGATGTCGGAAATGATAACGGCGTTATAGTTACTGTCAAAGTAATTAGTTAGATTACTCGTTACTGAAAAAAGTAACGGCGTTAGTAACGCCGTTACTAGTAACGCCGTTATTCCCATCACTGGTTATGAAGCTCCTCAACTACGCTGACAAGGTCCGTATTATGAATGCAGCCCGAAGCGCAGGCAACGTGCTCGTAGATGGAAGAAAAGTACCGCGGTGAAGTTAGTTTGAAGTTGGATATCGGACAGACATTCGCCGCAACATTTAAGTGCACCCGTACTACACACAGTACGGTAAACACGCGGAGACATGTACGCTGGTCTAATATTTACATATAAAAAATCATTAAAAATACTTACAACATTTTAATGATAAAATAAGAGGTGTACCCCCTGCAGCTAGTGGAGGACTATGATCCTGACCTGATTTGGAGTCAATAGGTCACATGACCTGGAAGCTATTGAGCTAAAATGCTAATATTTACATATAAAAATTCATCAAAAATACTTAAAAATACTTAAATGACAAAAAAAGAGGTGTACCCCCTGCAGCTAAGGGAGGACTATGATCCTGACCTGATTTGGAGTCAATAGGTCACATGACCTGGAAGCTATTGAGCTAAAATGCTAATATTTACATATAAAAATTCATCAAAAATACTTAAATGACAAAAAAAGAGGTGTACCCCCTGCAGCTAGTGGAGGACTATGATCCTGACCTGATTTGGAGTCAATAGGTCACATGACCTGGAAGCTATTGAGCTAAAATGCTAATATTTACATATAAAAATTCATTAAAAATACTTAAATGACAAAAAAAGAGGTGTACCCCCTGCAGCTAAGGGAGGACTATGATCCTGACCTGATTTGGAGTCAATAGGTCACATGACCTGGAAGCTATTGAGCTAAAATGCTAATATTTGCCTTTAAAAATGCATTGGGTTGGCGTGACTTCCGGTAAGCAGTACTGCAGGGCTGCTCTGTGCACCTTTTTAGTAAACTTTTAACAACTTTTTAGCGCGTTTTTATTGTTCAGTTTTTTAATATATCTGAGTGTTTTATGTTATTAATTCAGTGGTTTCAGCAAATAGCGCTTAGTCCCGACTGAAACCCACTAGTAGCACAGAGGCTAACACAAGCTAACGAGGACATGGAAAGTGACAATGAAATTGGCTCAAACATGCACAATATTAGTCGCCTCACCTTGGAGCTCCGTGAGAGCGACCGTGCCACCATTGCAGAACTACGAAAAGAAGTCCTTCGTCTCACCGCAGAGTTGAATGAGAAACAATCTCTAGTGTCCAAACTTTTTGAAGTCGCTGGTGGGCAGCATTCACGGCTGATGTCACTGAGCGCTGCATATTGTGACACTGTCGTGTGGGAGAGATCCGTCAGCTCCGGACCCTCCTGTTCTACACCTAAGCGCCCGGTTCCGAACAACGAGCCCGCGGATTCCGAGGAGCCATCCTGCGCCGTGGCCCATGTCCTTAGTCTGGCAAACCGCTATGCAGCCCTCTCCACTGACATCCCGGCCCCCTCAGCAGAATCCCTGGACACTGCAGCGTACTCTGCTGCTCGAGGATCCAAGTCCACTGCGAGGAAAACGCTCCTAAAGGAAGCAGTCCTCAGGCGAAAGAGCGGTCCACCAGCCATGTTGGCCTGTTCCCCTTCTTTGACCCCAGTGCAGCAGCCTCAGACTGGGGTAGCGAGCCATCATTACCATCGCTCACCTCCACCGGGTCAGCAGCAGCGCCCAGAGCCAGCCCCTCTCACCGCTCCAGCGTCCCCGAGCACACAGCGTGGGTCGCCTGTA